GCGCTCTAGACGTACTGGAAAAGAATGGTACGTAATGGCAAAACTTTTTATGATATAATGGGTGAGGACTTTCCTCGCTGGATCTTTTTAAGAGTTCTGCGTTTGAATATAATATCTTCGTTTTTCTTATCAGGGTTTATAATAGTTTCTTAGGATTATATTATTAATACTGTAACTTAGAGTTGGCAAGCAGCTATTGATTAGTAATTAAGATTTTTTAAACAAAAGTTGTCCAAACTAAAAGGTTGTATGTGGTAGTCGAAACAAATAAAATTATTTCGCAACACTTGCCATTTTAATGTGGTAGCAAAAAAAAGGTACATTAGTTGCTAGGAACTACTTTGTATTAGTATGATATTTTAATAACTACCGGCTACTTAATTTTATGCTAAATTAATTGCGCATGATCAGACCATCGATCAAGTTGTAACATCTAATTATATAATATTATGGCGCCAAAATTGTATACAAAAACGAGCTCGACCGGCCGTGACTTTTTGATCGAAAAAACTACCAAACCAAACGAGGCGGCTTCTATATACTACTGCAAATTTGATGTGATAATTATAAACTTTGTTCTATTGTCGGTCGTCACGGCTGATGTTCCCTTTTCATACATATGCGAGAATTGAAATAATGATTTTCCAATAGTTTTTTTTCATGTTTGCCGTTGCCGCGATATTCATGTTTAAATCGTAAAGATCTGAGGAGGCGCTGCCACCGCGCCCGTCACCCTGAGACCTAAGTTGACAAGTCTCATGTGCACTTATCCTTTCAAAAGGAGATCTCCTGCTACTAAACGTGGTGTTGTATATATACGTACAAGAACGTGTCAGATAAAGAGGTTTAGATGTGGTCTGTGGGTTTAGTAGTGGTTTTTACAAAGCTCTTAAACAAAGAAGCCTTCCCACTGGTGCACTGTGATAAAACGACGAATATGAACGAAAGAAAGTTATTTCGTAGTAGTAGTTAATCAATCAAATCACTCCCTTTCGTTCGTTCGGCGTCACTATTGGTCTAGTACAGAATAAAATGATCTAGCAAAGATCTGAGAGGCACTGGTACTGCGTCCATCTCACCATAACTTGACAAGTTCCATGTGACTGTAATTTCAGCAGCACTCTTGCCTAAAGATGGGAAAAATTGCTTATTTTTTAAACGTTTAAACGTTATGCTTTTTTAAAAAAGCGTGCTTTTTAAACGCTTTTTATTTAGAAGATAACAAAATCGTAAAACGTTTAAGCGCATAGACTTTTATGTTAAAAAAAGCTTGCAACGTTGTGTTGATAGCGAAATGCAAGAGTAGACCACTAAAGGTATTAATATAAGTCTTTTTGGAAAAATCGAGTTATATTTTTATTATGACATAATATTATTATATTAACATTTTGTTCATTGGCGTTTAAAAGCGTTCAAAAACATAAGTTGTTTAACTTTTGTAGTTGTTAATCGTTGAAATGGAAAATGCTGCTTATTTTTTTAACGGTAAAACGTACGTTTAAAAAGCATGCTTGTAAAAGCGCTTTTCACTTAAAACACTTTTTGGTTTGACACTTAAAAAATCGTCTAGAAAAACGTTTAAGCGCAAAGACTTTATGTTTAAAAACAACGCTTACGCTTAAAATGAAAAGCGTGGTTATGCGCTTATTTTAAAAAGCAGACTTTTTTAAGTGCTTTTCGTTCAAACGCCCACCTCTACTCTTACCCTTTAAAACCTTAACTCTTTAAGGTACGTTAAGCACTACAGAGCATCACCTTAATTGATACTTTATTAAGTAATTTATTTTGAAGGCAATCTACAAAATAATGTTAATTGGTATATTTATTGGTCGTAGTTTAGCTTCGCGCAACAGACGCCCTTTGTATGAAACGATCGCTGCGCCTCTACCCGACAAAAAAAAATACAAACAGATATAGATAGAGAATAGAACCAGAAGGTCATGGTTGCTGTTTAAACTTTGTTTTTTTTTAGCATTAGACAGAAGGAAATTTTGGGTCTTTTATTAGACGCCCATTTCATTCTCAAACACATTCAGTACCTTTATGTAATTATTACATTTTTTTACTCGTAATATTCATTAAAGATTAAATAGAATATTTGTAACTTTATATACTTAATCTATTTCAAAGACTTGTTCTATATAAAACTTAAAGAAACAGAGGTCCCAAACCCTAAACGGATCTTTTTATAAAATAATAATATCGTGTCATTTGTCATCAATTTCCATGATATTTTCTTTTACAGTAATTATTGTCTAAAGAAAAAGGTTTACAATCACAGCATTTTTGTTTACATTTTTTTAATTTAAAAAAAACGAAGTAAAGTTTATTTAACTGTCAAATTGTGTTGTAATGCTCACAGAGGCGGCAGAAATAGGTAAGGTGGTAGTTCTGCCCTGGACGAACTTTTGCACAAGGAGCTCTACTACTATTTTGCTACTGCTAGGTTTGGTTTTGTGTGGAGTTATACAGGGTTTCAAGTCTTATAAGCATGCGTTAACAATAAGTAATCAAGGAATGGAACTACCTACAAATAAACCGATAGGAATTAAGAGTTTTGCCATTTGAGTTCTAATTTTAAGAACGGCAAAAATACAAATTAATTTGTTTAAGTCTCATCGTCACGTTTAATTTCTGTACAAAAAAATTACTATTTTTTACTTTAACGTAAAATGATTAATAGCATTTACAAACAACAATATAGAACAATCTTAATTACTTACATAAAAAAAACAAAATATTTTATGGCTTGATGTTCAAATTCGAAATTTTCAATATTCATGAATATTTTAAAAAAGGACAGCGAACAGCACACTATTTTATGTGTGCGTAACAAGTTTCGAGGGCGTAAAGTAAATATTTTTGTCTATGTAATTATATGAACTTTAGATTGTGTTATGAATTCCTTTAAAGGCGTTTACCATCAGTGTTCTTTTATTTATTTAATAGGAATACCAACAGCTTAAAACTAAATTACATAATAATAACAACTAGCGGCAGTAGCGCTCCCTTGTGACAGAATTCGTCCAGGGAAGTAATTGTATGTAGTGGCAGTGGCAGTGCCCCCTTTTTTTTTTCATTTAAAGCAACTGTTACGGACAGGCGTGTGGCTTACCACCAGACCCAGAACTTGTTCGTCCCGTCACATGGTATCATAAAAAAAAAGTATTGTCGCCTTACTTACATATGCCGCCAAGCAATGACGTGAGTATTACTGCGGTTAGAATCGATCGTGACATTACAAGACCATTTCAATTTATGTCTCTGGATGACGGGCGCCGTGGTAGTGCTTCTCAGATCTTTCCGATTTAAAGCTCTAAGCGGCAATGTTATGGACCAGTGTGTATGGTATCATAGAAAGAACAACTAAAAGCCAATAATAGACCCTCACAAATAAATCATTTAATAAGGAACCTTGGTTCACAATTTAACAAAGCTATTACATAAAAAGACAACAGCTGTTGGATTGCATTCTGTTGGATTTCTCTCGCGCGTTCGATTCGATAAATATCTCACTCCTTCTCTCGAAGCTGGCTTAATACAGTTTAAGTATTCTTTCAGTGAACTGGTTTGGCAATTATTTAAGTGAAAGAACACATGGGGTTAAACTTTCAAGGCAGATTGATGGTACGGCATTATTAACATCGCAACCTAGGACTTTAATAGTCAGAGTATCTCAGGGCTCCGTAATAGGACCGCTCCTGTTGTATTAATTATTTACACTGTCGACCTGATAAGTGCAGTCTCTTATAGTAAATGTCATTACAATGCAGATGATGTTTTGACGGTTATGTAGATCCTAGTAATGTACGTCCGGCTTCGAATAGCTTGAATCACGACCTGCACACTATTTAGTAATGCACCTGTGATAATAGTCTATTCCACAATCCATGTAAATCTAAATATATGGTATAGGTTGTTAGTGCAAATCCGGATGTAGTAACTCTATGTGAATGTTTTTATCGCCTTAAGGTTTTACACGGAATCAGTGATTAGCTTAATGAAAAAGCACGGATTGCTGTTTATGACATTGTGTATGGGCCACGTCTGCTTGCAAAGACGCAGCGATTATTACAATTCATACTAAAAATTCGAAATTGTTATTTTTATTTTGTGATAGCAATTCCGGACAGTTTCCTGTCCGTGTGTGAGTGTTAATAAATAAGATGTTATGTTTTAAAACATTAGGTCATGATGCATTACAAGTGGTAAGAGATGATGCTATTTACAGAGACTGTAATATAGAGTTCTTAAGTTTGCGCGATTATTATACATTGGAAATGAAATTATTTTTTAGGATATGAATCGAGTATAGTTTTAATCCTAAGCTATTATTATAATTAGCAGAATCGTAAATGATTGTTTCTTTATACGATAACACAGAAAACGAATAAACTTTATATTTGTATATCGTGAAGCCGCGTAATATAAACATTAATAAGTAATTTATAATGTTTAGGCAGGTAATGTCGTGAAAATTTAAAAATAAACTATATTTCGTGCCACAAACGTCATCTAGTGGCTAAGAAATTACATAAAACCGGCAAGATCAAGCTAATAACTATTAAACTATATTTTACGACACCAATGCCATCTACAGGTTAAAAGATTACATAAAACCGTAACATTCAGCCTAAAAATCATAAAAACTATTATTATACTATGTTTCACGCCTCTCACGCCATCTAGTGGCTAAGAGGTTACATAAAACCGTAACGACCAGGCTAAAAACTCTAAACTATATTTCACGCCAGCAATGCCATCTGCAGGCTAAAAGATTAGATAAAACCGTAACGCTAAGCCTAAAAACTATTATATACTATGTTTCACGCCTCCATCGTCATCTAGTGGCTAAGAAATTACATAAAACCGTGATACCCAATCTTAATACCAGTTCCCAGTTTATTATAGAATTAGTCTATAGGTTTATTAGGTATGTATTTAAAAAGTAAAGACACAGATTGAATCAAAACTTTATTTTAAACTTAGAGCAATATGGGCGCATGTGATTTACAGTAACAACAGTTGTCACAAGCGACTAAAACACTTCATATGGCAAATTGTACAGTGCCTCTAGCTGTCACAACAACAATTAATATCCGCGTCGCTAGAAAGAATTGTCGCGGTCAAACTTTGGCTGGTACTCAGTACTACGAAATGAGCTCGAATAAATTATATCATCGTAAAGGACTCTGTGTTCCTAACAACGTGTCAGTTCGTTGGTTCAGGTACCTTATGGTCTTGGAATTATATGCTCTTTTGGAGTAATATTCATTAGTGCAAGAATAAACTTCCTTAAAATTCCGCCACAAGTTTTTTTTACTTGTGGACGGACACAAGTATTTGCTAATAGCTGTCAATCCTTGGAGTTACATACTTCTTTTCTCCAGTCAAGATCCCGCAGTGGATCTGCCTATCGCGTTCCTTGCGCATTGCCTGGGAAAAACAATGGTTGATATATATGTCAATTATTAACAGGCAAAGATACCTTATAGCAAGATTTTTAAAGACGGTTCATTCTTGTACAAACTTAATGTAAAAAGTTCAAAATGGCATTTGAATGTAAATAAGTTATACAATAAATGAAGGTAAGCTACACGCCTGTCCATAACGGTTGCAGTGACACTTAGAGCTTTAAATCGCAAAGATCTGAGGGGCACTGCCACTGTGCCTGTCAACCTGAAACATAAGTTGACAAGCCCATGTGCCTGTAATTTCACCAGCACCCTTACCCTTCAAAACTGGAACATAGTAATGCTGCCACTGCTGCTTGGCGGCAGAAATAGGTAAGGTGGCAGTACTTCCCTGGACGAACTCTTTCACCAGGAGCTCTATTGCTACTAAATCTAATGCTGTATAAAGTCGGTCCTAGGATATGATTTTGTGTATGGCCCAATGTAGTTAATTGACGACCATTTTAGCACAGTTCGAAATTACCAAAATATGTATTTCTTTGATAACTATCATGCTAATAGTCCATTAATTGTCCAATATAGAAAGAAAGAAGGAAATAAAAACATTTATTCATTAAATTGAGTCACTATAACACTTAAATCTAATACTTAACACTAAAACAACAAATGGCTGCGGGATTTTAAGTTAGAGAGTGTGTATAGCGGCGCAAAAGAAGAAAAGGATACGACTCAGCAATATGTCTGTCTCAGGCGAGATAGACGCTGATTTTCAGTCGTTCCTGTTTCAGCGTCGGCTGAGATCTAAGGAAATGGTACATGCTCTGTATATCCTCTGCTTTATGCCACACTACTCATTTACAATACACATGTGCTACATGTATACTATATTATATACAAACTACAAGTAAATATACACAAATATAAATAAGTTAGAAGACAAGAGTTAGGAACATTCGGCATCAGAGCATACGCTGGTTTTCCATCAACAGATTTGTCATTCGTTTTCTAAATGCGGATTTTGAAATTGGCTGTCTAAGTGGAGGAGGCAGATTATTCCTGCATTTAGATGCCTGATACCGGAAGCACCCCTCAAAGGCTCTTGTTTTATGGAATGGCGTTAGCAATAAAAAACTATTAACTCTGCGTGAGTTATAGGAATAAGTACGCCATTTTAACTTGGCATTAGATAAGGTGGACTCTTGTATTTAACAACAGAGTGCATCAATGTAGAAAAATGCAAAAGTTCTTCTAGATTCCATATTCAGAATACCGTGTAGCTTTAGCAAAGGTGTTATGTGACTCTAGGGTGGAATTTTGTAACAGAATCGAATGCACACGTTTTGAACATGTTGTATTATTTTTTTTGAGGCAGAGAGAAGACAGGGACCGAAAACTGTATCCGCATAATTCAATTTTGATAAAATAAGCGATTCACACATTTTGAATCTAATATCTTCACTGAGTAAATGAGGAATTTTATATAGTACCTTGAGTCGAAAGAGACAAGACCTGGCAAGACTCTACATGACTCACAAATCGCAAACCACTGTCCACAGTAACACCTAAATTTTTGGCTTGGTTAACAAATTCTACCGATGATCCAAGAATACCAATCCTAGGATTGTGTAAAAGGATGCTCACAACCTGGTTTTTTGAATCCAGAACCAGAAACTTAGATTTAGTTGGATTCAGAATCAAAGCATTATGATTTGACCATCGGGCAATACTATCAAGATCGGAGTTGATCAGGGACAGTTTTAAATCCTGTGGACTCGTATGAATATAGTTTTGGACATTATCCGCATAAAGATGGCAATTGCAGTATTTCACATTCTTTATGACATCCGCCGAATACAAAACAAAAAGGATAGGTCCTAATATCCTAATATAAGGGTTTTAGGGGACTTTAATTTAATTTAATTTTCCAAAAACATAATTTTTTCCGTGAAATTTATAAGTTACAAGATCACAATACAGTGCTTAATGGTCATGGCGGGAAATTACAATTAAGACTGAGAGATCTTGCCCTTGCTCAGGTTAATACGTTTCAGTTAGCAGCAGTAGAGCTCCTTCTGAAAGAGTTCGTCCAGGGAAGTACTGCCACTTCACCTATTTCTGCCGCCAAGCAATAATGTGAGCATTACTGCGTTCCGGTTTTGAAGGGTAAGGTTGCTGGTAAAATTACAGGCACATAGGACTTGTCAACTAATGTCTCAGAGTGACGGGCGCTGTGGCAGTGCCCCTCATATCTTTGCGATTTAAAGCTCTGAAGGCACTGCAACTGTTATGGACAGGCATGTCGCTTTCCATCAAATGCACGACTTGTTCGTCCCGTCACTTGGTATTATAAAAAAAAACAAAGTTGTGACCCCCTAGTACCGATAGATGAATACAATCCCGCGCTTGAACTGACTATAAAACAGTGACGTGGCTGGGCCTCCGCTATTTTCTCACCATCATCGTACCCCTGAACAACAGGGTACGTGTCTAGATCGGAATTGGCGTAAAGCGGACTATCAAGTGCTTTACGCTGCTTTGTTGCTGACTTGTCTGAAATTCGTCATTTTGATAGGGCTGTTTACTATTTCTATTCAAATATATATATACATTTTTTTTTTTCAATTATTTTATTTGCGATCGACCGCCAAGCCATATATCTTCTGAATCTTTTGAACGGGATTGGGCGTTTTTGGTGGAGCGGCCAGTGCCGCACCTCCCAACTATAGAACATGTCTCGCTTAAGCTTCTTGACCATAGTTGATGGCTCTAGAAGTTCTGCGATTAGTAGGTTCGTTCGGATGGCAGGATAAACGTTCTTTGGCTTGGTTTTGTGTCGGTTGATCTCAACAGCTACCGATAGCACGTTTAGGTAATTATGGATCTCTTCATTCCGAGTGAACCAAGGGGCATTGATAATCGGCCACAGGGTACAATTCTGCACTCGTTGGAGACAAAGTATATACTCTTGCCAGCCACACCTCACATCTGAACACTGTATGTCCAAATGGGTTTTAAGACAGTTTAAGACATTAGAAGTTTGTTGCCTACTGAAAGTGCTTAATTCCTTCCCATGAGCCAACGTAGGTTACGTTATATATTAAAAAAATATATGAATATCGAGTTCTTAGGTTTTCGCGATTGTTACACATAGGAAATGAATATTTAATTATAGTGAAAAAATAGGGTGGTTTGCATTAATATTAGACATAACTGGTTGAAGACTGTACCACCTCAGTCAACCGTGACCATGGGACCTGTAAAGGGCCCGAAACGTCGGTTTGTTTGAAAAAACAAATATACGCGATTAAAATCCGGAAAAATAGTTTCATTTCCTAAATATATGAATGTTATAATCGTTTTATACCAATTTCGATCGTATCATTACAGTTGCGACTGTATCGCATTTGCATCGCGATTCTATCGCTACTGAGTCACGTACGTGTAAAGGTATAAAATTAACGTATCACTGCACACGCGCTATTCAAAGTCGCTGTGTATAATCATTTTAATTATAAGAAGGACAAACCACAGACTAACCATGAACCTGGCAAACTGCTTTGTCATCATTTGGCACTCTTTAAAGTCGTCGATATAGCACCTGCATTTGATGAGGCCGCGGTCCAGCCCGTACGCTTCCAAACAGTCCATCAGCTGCATTTCCTGTAGTAAAACATAGTTAAAATTATCGGTGTGCACGTGGACTAAACCATTTCATATTCATCGTCGAATAGAGCTAATTGCAGGACTAAAAAGCAGTTTACTTATTTTAATGGTGAGAGTCCGATTTAGAAGACCTGTAGACTATAGCGCATGGTCCAAATATCCGATGTGTGATCATTCCCTAAGTGACCTGCATGAAAGAGGGTATACTTACGACTGTAGGCCCGCATCTTAAATAAGACCTCATGGGCAGTAGTTGATTAAGATGTGACTGCACCTGTATAGCGCATCGTTCAAATATCTGGGGGTCTACTGTCGATCTGCGTCCGACATCTGTCCGAAACAATTACTGCCTAATAAGCAATACTTGACCAAATGAAAAGACGCGTGATGCGAATGAAGCTTCATACTTGATACTTGTCTTTTAATTTTGTCGAATATTACTTATTTGACAGTAATTGTTTCGGACGGGTGTCGGACGGAGATCGAGAGTAGACCCCCTGATGTGAGATCATTCCATACGCGAGGTCCGTGTTGCAGGAAATCTAAAGGACTTTAGATAATACACCCTTAAATGAGGGCTCGTCCTCAGTAGTTGGATAAAGATGTATATAAATATACATATACATCTTTATGCATAACTTGGATGAAGATGTATGTAAATAAGTTGGATAACACTACGACTTTACCTGTACAGAGCATCGTCCAAATATCTGATGCGAGATCAATCCCGATGTGACGTCCGTGATGGGCAGCCGTAAAAATGGCGAAAGCGATGACGCCATTTTTGTTAAGAAATGTTTAATAAGAAATCTTAGCTAAAAGTGGATTTGTTCTAAAATTTTTGTTCGTCAAATTGTTTTTTTATGAGTTTGACATATTATTATGACGCACACATTAAAACTCTCTTTGATTGTGACAACAATGTCAGTTACATAAAGTAAAATATTATTGGCGGTAGGTACTCAATGAAAACACGAAGTAAGGGACATATCCACATTGAAGCAAATTAGCTAGTCATTTTTCATTGGCGGCGCGTTTAGTAAGACTTCGCCAGCGCCATCATCATTTCAATCAAAACACGTTCACTGTTGAACATAGGCCTCCCCCAAAGAATGCGACAACGTCCTGTCCTGCGCCGCTTGCATCCAGCGGATTCCCGCTGCCTTCACCAGATCATCAGTCCACCTTGTGGGTGGTCTGCCCACGCTGTCTTCCGGTACGCGGTCGCCACTCGAGAACTCTTCGGGCCCATCGGCCATCTGTTCTGCGAGCAATGTGCCCTGACCATTGCCACTTAAGTTTTACAATTCTTAGGGCTATATCGGTTACTCTGTTTCCTTTGCGGATATCCTCATTACCGATTTGGTCTCGCAACGAAACTCCGAGCATTACCCTTTCCTTTGAGTGACCTTGAGTCTTCTTGAGATTGAGGCTTCATAGGCCCATAGTGAGCGACCACGTCTCAGTGACCAAGTCATCATTGGCAACACACATTGGTCGAAGGCTTTTGTTCGCCAGCGTCAAGTTTGTAAAAATAAAATTATGGAGTGTCAAAAAATGTCAAGTTGTCCAGGTGCCATGGACACACACATAGACACGAAAGAGACGAATGTAGGACACGCAAATATTTCTCCTGGCCCAGGAATCGAACCAGAGACCTCTGCGTGACAGTCCGGCATGGTAACCGTTCGGACACGGAGGCAGTTAAAGTAAACTAAAGACTGACAAGATTAACCTTCAACTTGTAGATTTTACGAGTAGGTAATGTGAAAATTTCAGTTCCAGTTTTACATTGGCAAGAGTGCTCATAAAATTACAGTGACATGGGACTTGTCAACTTATGTCTCAGGGTGACGGGCGCAGTGGCAGTGCCATTTGCGATTTAAAGCTCTTGCGTGGCTCTGGAACTGCTGTAACTGGGAATCATAAAAAAAAAGAAAAATCAATATTTCATATAATTAACTTTATTACATACACTTATTACAGATTGCTAATATATTATTTTTTTACTTTACAAAGTAGTGATTAATGATCAAAAACTGTCAATCCTTGGAGTTACGAATTTTTCATCGCCCTTAAGTTTACCTTCAGCTATTTGTCGATCCCTTTCCGCGCGCATTGCCTGTAAGGAGGAATTAGAAATGGAGATGACATGAAATAAGTACATTGGAAATGAATAATATACTTTTTTTAAACCAATAAATACATGTAACTTTAAGTTTAAACAGTTAATTTGTAAGTAGTCCATTACTTTTATTTTTTTTAATACTCCTATGTATAAACGCATGCCATGGCAACTTGTAAATGAAACAACACAAAAACTCGAGCCACAATATCTATTGTTTTGACCGCTTGTTTGTTTGTTTTTTAACTTGTCCTAAATAAATAAATAAATATTACATAAAAAAAAAACCTAAATCCTGTACATTTGTTTTAAAAAAATTCAGACTCTTTACATGTAGGTCACGGCTGACTGAGATGGTAAAGTCATCTTCCAGTTATATCTAAAATTAATTAACATAAATCAAACTATTCCGAATTAGATACAGTTGACTTGAGTATTAAGAATGTTTAGGAAATGAAACTATTTTTCCGGATTTAAATCGCGCATATTTGTTTTTACAAACAAACAAATATACAATATATTTAAATATATAATATATTTGTTTGTTTGTAAAAACAAATATACATGATTTAAAGCCGGAAAAATCGTTTCATTTCCTATGTGTAACAATTGCGAAAACCTAAGAACTCAATATTAAGAATGTTCTAAGAAATATATGTGTAAATACTACATAATAAACATTATATAGATCTATGTGAAACATGTTTTTGCCCATATTTACATTTTATGTTAAAATGGTATATTATGACATCATCGTTCTCAGTAAATAAAAATTAATAATTAAAATTATGAAATTTTTTTAACTACAACATTAAATTTTTATACAAAGTGCAAAACAGACAGCCTCTTTTAATGGCCTGGTGTTTAGTACACACTTCACTTGCCAGTCTGAAGCAGCAAGCGAATAGTCATAGGTGAAGCCTGAAAATCAGCAATGCCGAGTCTTCATCCTTTTTGTCTACACTACTGTTCTTTGGTTTTAATTGTTTGCTTATACTTGCATATGTTTCATAGATAAATAAATGCCATTTTATAATTTATTTATTATTAGTAAGGAGCATAGCGCTAATACATAGTAGTTTGAAGTAGGTACCTACCATAAATCGTTTGAATTGCAAAGTGTTCGTTTGGCATTCATGGAAATCGGCGAAAAGTCTCTCGCATTTGACTCTTCCCCGTTCCAGGCCGTACACCTCAAGGCAGTCCATGTAGCGCATCTCTTCTTTTTGGCATTTGCCAAACGTCTGATGAGATATCAGACAAGCGGTGATATCGGTAAACGGGGACCGGAAAAACGGAGACAGCGACATTTTACCCTAAAACACAATAATAAAAACGAATAAACAGATCAGTTTATTAGGTTAGAAAATTACGTAAACATTTATGTTTATATTTTTAATTGCGTGCTGATCTTATCATAATAAATCTTACGTCATCTATATTTAATAAAATGTCAAAAGACTATGTGAACTTACCCTTATACCCTTAAATTTATTCGAAATCAATTTTTTCTGTTTTCAATGTCGAAAAATTGTCGATTACAACGACTGACAGTGACAGACAGATAGTTCTAGTGTTTCCATTTCCGAGCAAGACTTCCTGTTTACTGTTGGCGTAGAGACTGTTGGGGAATTTTTCGAAATAATTTCAAATAGTGGAAATTTGTCCGGAAAAATACCAGAAAATTTGAAAAATTTGTAAAAATTGGAAAAATATAATTTGGAAGGCTCATATACGTTCTACGTTTAGAAATATCTTTTGAAGTTTTATTAGCGTAAATTATTATAAAATAAACTTGTATAGCTAAAAACTACATAAAGAAAAACGTGCTTTAAAATGATTTCACAACAGCGAAAAAACCTCCAACAACCACGCTACCACCACTTGTTGTTGGCCCAACGCCAAATCTAGAAAAATAAACGAAAAATATCCGGAAAAATATTTAGTTTAGGAAATGAAACTATTTTTCCGGATTTAAATTGCGTATATCTACTTTTACAAGCAAACCGACGTTTCGGGCCCTTTACAGATCCCATGGTCACGGTTAATCCGGAAAAATAGTTTCATTTCCTATGTGTTGTTACAAATCGTGAAAACCTAAGAACTCGAAATATTTAATTTTCTGAAACTATGATTTTTTCAAAATGGAATTTTGTCCATGACCGACTATTCATGAACACTATCCCTGCTAGTAATTTTAGATTAATTTGCATGCTATATTGTTCGACATTTTTTCGTCATACAGATCAAGAGATACTGCTAATAGTGATTTCGGAGTTAGGCTATATAGTTTCTACAGTTTTGTTATATTCTATAGTCTTCTAGTTTCTAATTAATGTAATTTTAAACTCGACGATGTATCTTAAGCAGTGGGGTCGCCCCTGTTGCTTGCACAAGCTACAAACTACGTATGTCCCTCGTTATACTTTAACGAAATTAGAGTGGAATTTTAAATATAAACATTATAGAAATTAACTGCATTTTTCTAACAGCTCCTCTCAAGTATAATATTATACGACTTATTCTAGATCATATGTGCACTTGTGCGGTAAGTTGATCTCCTTGCAATGAAACCTACTTATTTATTATACGTATGTTTGCGGTACGGTTTGCGTCTGTTCTGTTCTATTTGTACATTCTTATAATGTACAAAATAGAGTAGAGAGTAGCGATGGGCGAATGTTATTAACAAAAAAATATCGAACAAATCGGTAGTTGCACTATCCTATATTCGATTTTAAATTTAGTCGTCATTACTGAAAATAATCGAATATAGTTATTATACTAGTTTAGTAATTACTAATTAAATTTCAAAAAAGGTCCTCTGTACTATAGTACGGAATGTTAAAAATCGATCCTATTACTAATTTAATAACAATTAATCCTATTATTGTTACGATATTTGATGAACAATCAAATATTAGTAAATAATAGATTAGTAACTGTTTCGATTCACAATTTATATTTGTTCAACAATCAAAAAGTGAAGTTTAGTAGAAAATTTATTTCAACAATCGAATTGTTTCGATTATGTTTATAAACGAATAATTAGATTATTTTTGTTTAAAGTGGAATAGGATAGTGCTATTGTGCCTTAATTGAAGTTTAAAACGCGAAATTATACGAATCTCGAACTAAAATACCCGTATCGGCTCTTTCTAAGGAATCCCGAGTCAATCCAAACACGCCGCCTCAAATTGCGTATCCTCTTTGTGTCGGCCATATTTACAGAAACATAATTAACCGAAGACATGGCTCACAGAACTTGTATCCAAGCCAAAATTATTAATAAAAAAAAATATCGAAATGGATTTAAAAAAAAACTAGGCTGCATGGTCCATTGAACTTTGCCTTTCCGCAAGAAAGAGGAAAAAAAAAACATCTGTTTTTCTGTATTATCACAAAACTAATAACTACTGTGTTATAGAAAAAGAATAGAATCGAAAACGTTTAAGTTTTTTTTAAACCAAATCCTTGAATTATTGGTTTTTAAAAATATGGAGAACTGGATAAACGAGGAACTGTCCAAAGTATTAGGTTTTCAAGTACCGGAGGATTTGGTAAAGTTAGTGACACATTTTTTGTTTCTTATTTCAATGTTCTTGTTGTTACATACATAAAAATGAATATTATTTAATTATACTACTGAAAATACAAAAGTCACCTATTAGCTATCAATGTTTTTTTTGTTTCATGTGCTTGTGCTACCGTTTTTTTTTGTAAAAGAAATATGAAACAAACTTCTTACAACTCCTGTGTATCATATGGTACCCTAAACCTATTTTAACATAGATGCCATTATAACTTATTTCTAGTACAATAGCTTCCGTAATTTTATTAGATAGTTATTAATAATGATTGTTTTTCAGATATATAACAGAAATAAAAAGAGAATCAGATTTCAATGAATACATGAAGACTCTATTGGACTTTAGTAATCAACAGCATAAATCTTTTTTTATTGAGTTGTCCAGAAAGAAATTTCCTAGTAAAGGTAATTTGTACCTTCTTGTGTTAAAATAGAGTATAATTAGATTATCCATCCATGCTATACATGTATAATAGTTGCACAATATTTCAAAACTTTTTTGTAATAATTCATTTGCAAAAGTAAAATACATTCTCTATTACTCATTCTCAATACCAACTAGTAGTTGTTAATAAAAATGGAGATAGGAAAACAGCATGTCTGATATACTGAATTAATCTTTTGATATGATATTAAATTATAAACATGTGTAATGATCAATGTTGGCATACATAATATTAACCTGATGCGAGATGGTTTTTTAAAAGGCCACTTAAAAAAGTATCATGAAATAATAAATAATAATGATTCACGCTGTTTAAAAGACATTTAAAAAATCGAAAGTTCATTTTGCCATTCTATGGGTCATATTCCAGATCTTTACTCAATACTTATGTCAGGACTTGAGCACTGAAAATTATACTCAAGTCCTTGCCATTAGTGTTATATTTCCAGTGCTTGAAATCATACTCAAGTCTGCTCAAGTCCTTACTTGAGCATTGAGTAGAGTTCTGGAATACGACCCTAAGAGTACAAGTACATTATAAACATAAATATTTATTGAGGATCCCGAAAACGGCACATGTGATATCACTAACCTGACTGACCACTATTTTTTTCCTCAGGAACGGGACACATATAAATTCATTATAGTTATAAAAATAAACTGCTTGTTTGGGATAGTTACGAAATTTTTAATAATTAAAAATAGAATTAAATTATTTAATCAAAAATTCAAAAAAGAACTAATCTGCTGGTGGGCTGGCTTTATTATAGTGTATATTTTTCGGATTAGTAAAGCTTTAATATTTCAGGTGCAGTTTTTAAATACGGTCTACAGCAGCGGGCAGCCTGGCATATCATGCCATAGATTCATTCCTGCAAAAAACAATTAAAAGTCGCGGAAGAAAAGACTTACCTTGTGCTACACTTTCGCGCAATTTTATTAAATTTATTGTTACTGGCTCCGTGACCGAACAGTTACCGTGCTGGATTGCATAGTGGAGGTTCTGGGTTCGATTCCTGGGCAGGGAGAAATATTAGTATAGCATACATTTACTTCTTTTGTGACTTTAGAGTGTAATTTGTGGTTGTTTATGTGTGTTTCTATGGCACCTGTGATACAGGATTGCCCTAGTACAGGACTTATAATAATAAATAAAAAAATAAAATAAACAAATGTGTCCTGAGTGGGACTTTTTAAGTATTTTGGGGACAGTGGGATACGAAGTTTGAAAATGGGACTGTCCCACTCCAAGCGGGACGTATGGTCATGTTAGATATGACCCATGCAAGTTGAAGGAGCAAAATAAGTGTCTCAGAAACATTATGAGAAGGTCCATTTTCTATGCGTACCCTTGTAAAGAAAAGGTGTGATAGTAATATGCATGTATTGTAGTATGTGTGAAAGGCACAGTCCATTGTACACATACAAAGTTGTAAAATGTAAAAAGGTACAGAAATCTACCCAGGTAACATTATGTTACTAGTATAAAAGTGTATAGTTTGTGAGCTATTAATAAAGCGTATAATTATTTTGCACACAAAAGTAGGTGCCGTCACGACAAGACATGACACAGAGAACCTTTACTTCTTTCCAGGTGCTTCACCAGTAAAACAGAAGAAAAAAATAGCAAAGAGTAAACCTCAACAGGAATTTGTGACTGTGGAGACTCCCGACGAGGCTTCCAGGCCTGCCGTTCAGGAGGAGACTAAAGATGGCAAAAAAAAGAAAACCAAATTTGTGAACCTGTATTCAAAGGAAGGAAAGAATGCTCAGGTCATTTTGCTAAAAGGTATTTTTGATTATTCAATCATAAGTTTTAGCCCACTAATTATAAAATAAACAACTGCTAAATAGGGTTTGAACTAAAATTTGAGAGAACTTGACTTAGGTACAGCCATACTCCTATATTAAGGATGATACACTTTGGCTTTAGAAGTAATTTTAATTTGTGAGACTATGTGATTGTTTTGTTGTGTCAAACACTGCAAGGCAAATGGCAACTTGCGTAATTTCATTGCAAAAGGAATCTTCTGGATGTTATCAACAGAATAGCTTATTTTGCAGAGTAAAATTATAATGGCTGGATAGTATGAAGCAGTTTAATTATAATCAACAACAAGCACATAAAAAATTCGCGGGGTCTGCTGGTTTTGATTCGTTCCGTGGCTATAGCGTCTGGCACTTACTGTAGCTTTGTCCAATTGTAGTTCCTCAATTATTTACAAATTATAATTATTAATACAAAGATCGAACATTCAGAAAAAATCCGGCCGGATTTGAACCGACGTCTTCTAGATGATGTATGCTAGGAGACATCGGTTTGAATCCCGCCGGATCGAAGGATTTTTTTCTAAGTGTTCGGTCTTTGTATTCATAATTATAACAAACTAGTGCAGTATCGAGTTCTTAGGTTTTCGCGATTGTTACACATAGGAATGAAACTATTTTTCCGGATTTAAATCGCGTATATTTGTTTTTTCAAACAAACCGAGTGCAGTAGTTTCACAAAAAATAATTGAATGACAAGGTGGTGAAACATTCTGAAATTTAATTATTTAACTTTAATTATGTTTCTTGTTATATTATTACCCTCGAAAATAACAAAACATTTAAAAATCCTATTTACAGTTGGAGTTATTAGGTTTTCGCGATTGTTACACATAGAAAATGAAACCATTTTACCGGATTTAAATCTGTTAACCGTGACCATGGTACCGAACCGTGACATGGTATGGAAGGGCCCGAAACCTTGGTTTGTTAGAAAAAACAAATATACGCAATTTAGTGTTCATATTTCAGATTATGCTTTTTTTCGCCACTAAGCTACATAATTAATACCTATGAAATGATGAAAATTTCTGTCTTTAAACTACTGCTTGAACTTGTAGGGCGTCATGCGTGTGACTGCGAAGCGTCGGTACATGAGCTGATTAACAACTGCCTCGAGTGCGGGCGCGTTGTCTGCACACAAGAGGGCTCGGGCCCGTGCCTGTTCTGCGGTGCATTGGTAATATAATTTCAAATCAATATTTTATTAAATATTACTGCATCAGTTACATCCTGCACAATTTTAAACAATTCAATATTTCCCTAGTGTCCCCACACTATGTGTGAAAAGAAAAAAATGAATTATGAAATATGAAGAAAATAATATTCAATAAATGATCATCAATTTTAAGCGAGCATGAGCAAGCTCATGAAGCACAAGGTCATGTTGTACTGCGCCATATTGTAGTCTCTATGGCTTTATGGTCCTTTAGTTATAGTCCACCGCTTCCAAGTAAAATATCCAATGCCTTCAAAGAGTCCATAACAACATCTTTAAAACTATCAGTGGTGCCACATAATATGTCAGGAACACTGAAATCCATGAATACCTAGAGATTTCAACGATTCTAGAAGAAATGGACTTTAGACGTAAACATAGGAGTTGGCTCGGAGCTCATCCGAATCCGAAAGGTGTTCAAAGCTAAAGCACTGGTTGATGTTGGCAACATCATGGGACTAAAACGACAGCATGTGTTTGATGACTAAGAGAAGCCGAAGTCTAGTGACTGATTGTAGATACTTTAAAAGTTTTTAAGTAGAGATATATTTACAGGTTTGCACCGAGGAAGAGGAGAAGCAGATAAACTCGAACTCAACGAGCGGAGTTCAACTGAAAGACTCTTTGATGGAACGCGAGAAACCGCAGGGCTGGGAAGAGGCATTGGCTCACAGAAATAGGCTGCTCGAATTCGATCAGAACGGGTAAGTCTAGGAGAAGGGCATTTACCATACACAACCACAGCATGTCGATGCTGTATGAAACATATAATAATTATTTTATATTTAATTTTTTTTTCATAATGAATTACTTGTGAGACTAATTAGTCTCAATTCTGCCAGTGTCCGCTTTCTAGTTTCATAAAGGTCATGGAGGGTGTGTTAGACAATACACAGACAATATTGTTTGGTCACTCAGAGGGAGTATCGAAGAGAGTTTTGCACAAATTGAATCCTAGAACAAAAGAGACGGCTCAAATTAGACAACACAAGTATTTAGAAACATGTATACATATTAAATATAGTGTTAATCCGTGAATAATATTTAATAAGTTTAATAAGATTTATATGTATGAATTTAAAAATAATATGATACATTTTTGGTTGAGAGGACAGGGATAATAATCAAAAGTAAATAAAAAGTAATGGTAAAATTTAGTCTGTCTTTTGAAGATGGAGTAAAATGACATAAGCAGGGTTGCCAGTTTTCATAAAATTTTAAATAGTCATGTAGTTGTTGTCGACGGTTTTAGCGATAGATTGTGAAAGAAGGTAAAATTTTATCAAAAGTATCTGAATTGGGACGGTTACGACGTCCTAATGATTACTAATTGCGTTAGTGCCTTATTTATGCTTATTTTAATAGTTGGACTACACTAGTAGTATAGTGGCAGCAGTACTCCATACACAACCGGATTTGTGCTTGGTACAGCTGAAGCAACTGTCCCAGTGTGAAGCATCGCTTCATCATGGAAAGGATGCCAAGCTTCTTGGCTGCATTTTTGGCCATGTATTGGACAGATTGGACGACAGGTCCATTCCAAGTAGCTGGAGACGGTCGGCTATCGGTATGGATGTATCACGAAAAGTCGGAGTCAGGTGAAAGGACTCCGTTTAGTGGAGAAAAGACACGCCTGCGTTTTGGTAGCATTAAATTTGACAATATTGGCATCGCCCCAATCGAAGACTGCCTGGAGTGTCAAATCCAAACGGCTAACCATGGACTCAGGACAAGACTGGATTTCCTCTCCACTGATCCTTGCTTTGGTCAATCACCTATCTACAACTGTGCTGTCATCAGCATACGCAAAGGTACTTGGAATTAACATATCATTGATATGCAGCAGAAAGAGAGTTGCAAACAGTACGGAACCCAGATGAATCTATCGCCATATGTTCGGAAGAGTAGCCTTCTAAGCCCACTCGAATCGAACGTTCACTCAAGAAATCCGAAATCCAATTGCAAAGGTCAGTAGGAAGCCCATAAGAGCGAAGCTTGCTTAAAAGGCTTGCGTGCCAGATCCTGTCAAAGGCCTTAGAAATGTCAGACATTGCAATGGCTTCGCCATGCTCTTCTATAGCCTCATTGCGTAGATGAGAGGCATACACAAGAAGATCCCCAGTGATGGCCTCTTCGGAATCCGTACTGGCGATCACCGAGGAGATCGTTGTCTTCAAGGTACGACAGGAGACGATTGTTAAGTACACATTCCATAGTCTTGCAGAGTATGGAAGTGACTGAGATAGGTTATAAGACCTATAAAAAACGCAGAGTTCTGAGTACCTCTTTTTGGCGTATGCGAACTGGCGCCATAGTGCAGTCTTAGGTAAAGAAGGTGGTATCCTGCGGCATCCAGACGCGAACTCTGCAAAGAGTAATGGCGAAGAGATTCGCCTTCTCTTCCGCAGTATGAGCCAGCGAGCCGTCTGGCCTAAGCAGAGATGGTAATGAGTGGCTACTAAAGTTTTGTTCGACCGCTTTGGCCAGGGACCAAAAGGACTTGCTGCCTGCTGGAAAAGAGGCAAGCTTGGCCCCTATGCGGCGCACATGGATGAACTTGGCCCTGCGTAACACACTTTTGCTCTTCTTAGCGGCTTTCTTCAGATTCCGAGTATTCGGAGCTTTGCGTAGTCGAGCGTCTGCCCAAGCTTGGTACGCAGACTGTTTTTGTGTTTCAGCACGACTACAGTCAGCGTTAAACCATGGACGAGCTTGGGGCCCATTGGGTACATCGAAGTATGGTATATAATACTCCATGCCCAATCGCAAGACCTCAACTACAGTGTGACAGTACAAGCAGCTACTACTCGTCGTTGGATGCAATGCAACTGTTCAGATTCGACCTCCTAATGGCAACTCCCGTTCGACGAGCCGGAACACGAATAAACCATTTGGCGACTCGACTGCGTCGGGAGGGTATAGCCGTTCGGCCACAGAGCCAATTTAAGTACCCGCTGTCATGTGTTTTTGTTTTTGTTGTGCTATACATACATTGTGTATATTTTATACTTTGCAACGCTGCTAACAATAATGTAATAATAACAACGCACGCGCTTATAGTCCTGCACTAGGGAAACCCTGTATGGCGGGTGCCACACATACATAGACAACCACAAAGTACACCCAAAGTTTTTTTTTTCACCCGAGTTCGTTAGTCTGGTACCCATGGGCTTCACGGACTTCACTCCAGGGCACTTCCCAGAACACCCAGACCAGAATCAATTTAGAAAAGTTCATTTCCCAAATTGGCCCTTCCGGGAATCGAACCCGGGACCGCCTCATCCAGTGCCCACCGCGCAACCGTTGTTGGGTCAACAAGTTCATCGTTGAGTTTTTAAAGGAATAACATTAAATTTATTTATTTATTAAGAAAACCAACGGCGTTACATAAGATATTATCATGGTATATAAGCTTAGAGTAAAGCTAATTACAAGTTGCCCTCGTTGACACATCTTATATAATATTAAACAAAATGTCATCGGTAAATAAGTACATTTAACATTAGTCATGAGTGAATAAGATAATACTAGTTTTAGATGCTGAAATCACAAACATAAAATCTCGCTTGTTGTTAATAATCGCATTAATGGGATGTTAATGTAAACAACTCATCGTTACGCTAATATGAAATTTAAAAAAATATTATTCGTATTTCACCCTGAGATGTAACTTTGTGTTTGCATAAGAAAACACAAAGCAGAAACCCTGACGAGGTAAAATAATTCTTCTATCTTCATATTATACATTCTTCCATCTTCATCAAGCACGGTATGCTGAAGGCCCTGGAATACAGACTTGTCGAAGGAATTATTTAAACTAGTGGTAGTAGTAATTTCACGAAAAAAATTGTAATATGGTAGTAAAACATTCAAGATATTTAATACAATATTCAAACACACAAAAGATATTCAATAAACTCAACAAATTCATATAATATATTCCAGCGAAAAACGTACGCAAGTATTTGATGACGACAGCGATTACTTCAACACGAACAGCGTTTGGATCGGCGCCGACGAGAAAGAAAAGCTTGATAAATATAAAAAGGAGTTGCATGAGAAGAAACACGCCTCGCGACTGAGCAAGAAGATGACGTTCGACTTCGCTGGTGAGTAAGATAATCGTTCTTCTTATGGCATACTACTACTTACAGACATTTCACATACACTATATTATCACATCCCAGAACTTAGCCACGCCACGATGATTGTTGGCATACCTTTAATGCACGTATTATAAACAGGTGTGTGGTAAAGTCTCCGCCACGGTTTACTTCTTGTTAAAAAAAATTAAAACTCACAACAAAATTGATAACTCAGAATTTTCATTTCCTCTTCAACAATTTAATTAGTTAGTAGCAGTAGAGCTCTTTGTAAAAGAATTTGTCCAGGGAAGTATTGTCACCGTACCTATTTATGCCGAGAAGCAGGAATGTCAGCATTACTGTGTTCCGGTTTTGAAGGGTAAGGATGCTGGTGACATTACAGGCACATGGGACTTGTCAACTTGTGTGTCAGGGTGACGGGCTGTTATGGACAGGCGTGTAGCTTACCATCAGGTGCACGACTTGTCCGTAGGACATGAAATTAAAATGATTTTGAGTGAGTACCTCATTTCATAAAAAATGAGGCGGTACAGTATCCTACTTCAATTTAATGCGGTGACATAGTGGTAAGAATGTTTCCACCTACGGCAATGACTCAATATTAAACACATTTTCATAACTTGATGGTGTCACTCAATTGGATAACTTAACTGTTATGATATAGTATAAATAAATACTAATACTAATATATACTAATTTTATTTAGTACTGTGGCAGTATGATCATATCATCGAGTATATAACCAAAAATAGAGACGAAATGTCATTTAATTTATTGGTATGTCAATGTTTAATTTGTTTGAAAACTATTCTGCCATATCATTACTGTGACAACTGCGCACTGATTGGCCAGCGCGAATTCGAAACAATTGACGGGTGTCGTCAATGGGTTTAAGTTCAAATCGACCAGTTAACTTGAGCTTTGCTATAATGGACGAAACTTGTAAAATTACATTTTTAATATTTAATTACCGATGACATTTGATTCCGTTTGTTTTGTAATTAGGTGTTCTGCTGTTTTTCCCCACACCACCGAATAGAATAGCACGCCCTTGTTAGAGATATTATCTTTATTACAATAAATACAGAATATTTTTGGAATATACGGAGACGTACACACAGGTCAGTTGTTGGCGCTGTACTATTTCAGCTTTCTAATTTGTAATATCAGTGCAAACGAGAGTTGATATTTATAAGTGATGTATCACTGATGAGTTACCAGGAAAGTATGGCCCTTATTTCGTCTCTGTTTCTGGTTATATACTCGATGAATCATATGATGTGAAATTAGCTAAAAGGCGGGCAGTACAGGACCAATCATTGTTGCATTATTTTATTGAATTCGAACCAGTGTGACATGAGTGAGGCTGTGACATGAGGCTATGACATGAGGTGAGGTGTAAGGTGGGACGTTTTTATGACACGAGGTGTTGTGACAAACTAACCAAGCGAGAGGTACAAAAGTGTTGCCTCGTATATAACTCAATACTAATATGTAGGAATCCAACAAGATACAGTGCGACTTAAAATTGTATTACGATTGACTTATAAGATTACGGTATTATATTAAATCAGGGGGCCAATCGCGCTAATTGTCAAAGGTTTAACCAAAACCTCCAACCTCGCCAATCTGACACGTTGTGTACATTTCGTATCGCGCTAACTGTCAAAACAAAAACCTAAGCCTAAACTTAGACGTGTGACACGTAACGCACATTTGGTATCGCGCTAATTGTCAAAGGTAAAACCTAAACCTTAAACGTTGCCAATTGGTATCGCGCTAAATATTTTGACGTATTAACCTCACATGTAACCTTGGGGGCATAGATTAACCTTTGAAAGATTAACGTTTGTGTGGCAGTTAATGGAGAGTAACTTTTCACTACATTTATCGTATATTAAAGATGTTCCATGGTTACTTAAATGTTTCGGAAAGTGTTTATGAGGTGGATGTGGCCTAAGAACGGGCTTTAAATAAAAGAAAAGCATAGAAAGACGATCACATTTAACATGTCTGAGGAGAAATTCCGCAAACGATATACCGTTTGTCCACGGAATTCATTTCAGGATTGGTGGAAGAACTATGCCTACATATTCTCGTTAAAGGACGGTCTGTTGCATTGGATGTGGAGACAAAGGTAAGGGTTAAGTGGAATCCGAAAGTTCTCAGTTTTGCATAATAACCAAAATTTCTATACTGTGTAAATCATTATTAATTTTGTTACAGATTTTAATAGCTCGTATAGTCTTTAACAACTGGGGTGTACCAGACCCCCATTGGCAAGTGCTTATCACCCTTTCCCAAGCCAGTGTCAGAAAGGCACAAGCGGTAGCTGCTTCAAATAAACCAGTTATTATGAATAAATATGCAGCTTTCCTAAAAGGCATGCCGAAAGAGATGGTATTAAAAGGCGGTGAGAAAATAAGCTTTACAATGTACATCATATTTATTAGTTCTTGTCTTAATATTTCCTGTTATTATTATCAAATAAAAATGAGAGATATAGGTAAAATATGTATAGTTGTATAAAAATATATTACAAGGTTACAATTTATCTCTTTTAACACTTGACTTTATACAACATATCGTCCCCTTACAGTGAAGCCTCACATATGCATTTTCAGTTAGTTTTTACTGATTTTTGTTGAATAAAAATTAATAATGTAATAATATAGTATCTAAAAGAGGTATAATTTAAGTAATTAAAATGCTAACTACACACATTATTGCATTTACTATACTTCACACCATATTTTTATCTTCATCCTAAAAAATTACATAGAAATATGAGGTATTCATTCTAAGATGACGATGTATACCTATTGTAATTGTTTATTATCTTAATATCTAAATTGATGTATACTTTTAAGAGGTTGAAATAAAAAAAGGAGTGTATTTTTAGTTTATTTATTGCCTCAATCTACCCCAAATGATCCTTCATTTCCAGAGCGAGCTTGCTTTTGATTCTTCAAAGAAGTCTGAAACAAAAATATGTATATAGTAAGATTGGAGACCTAAATTTAAGACTGTGCCATACCTCTCATGAGAGTAGTGACAGATAAAGCAGGATGGGTATTTATATACATACAGTATGAAGCCAACATAAACGCCAGAATGTTTAGGGGCCTTTTCAAAATACATTTTAAAAAATGTTTATATCACTGTGGAAATATAAAGGGGACAAAAGTCTACAGATTAGACCTTCGTTCCTTACGCTCTTTCAGATTTCCACAATTGAACATATCATCAGCAGGAATTAAGAAAACATGTCGAAAACAAACCTGTCATTCTTGTTAAATATTCTATCAAAAAGGTTAACTGCAGGCACCAACTCGGTAATTGCTTTGCAAATGGCAGCTACGGATTGGGCATGCAGATCATCTGCTTTGGCAGAAATAATAGTTGCCTCAGCCTGCACCCTGCCAGCATTCACTTGCTGCAAGAATGCTTCGCATGCTCGCAGCTCCTCAATGCATAAGAATTCTACCCGGCTCTGCTCCAACGCTCATCAGCTCGCTGTCAACGAAATAATAGATGACTGTGATGTAATAGAGTGAGAAAGAATTTGCTCAAATTGAAAGTTACTTTGTTTTTTAATTAATAATAAAGAGTGAGAAAGTTTGTTATTTAATTGCATGTTTGAAGTTATTTAGTTACTTTGTGCTAGAGTTGGTGTCCTTTAGGAAGGTTGGTAGGGCCTCTGCCGCAGTCGATGTGGCGTAGATTCTCACCCTGCTTTTCATACCATTCCATACCTGAATAACAATAATAACATTGCATATTATAGTGATATGAGTTCTGGTACAATAACGGTGAGTGATCCACTCACTGTATCCTATTACCTAGCATTATAGCTCACCTTTTGGGATCTATTGCGGGGCCACAAAATAGCCACACACTCGCACCAAAGGCGTGCTGATAACACGCGCGAACAACGCCGAGCGAAGTCATTCTCAAGCCAAATCTCTGTGCGATTCGAACTCCAGCAAAGATGGAGCTGGCTTACAGTGGTCGCTCGCCGTCCGACCGCATCCACACTGGCTGAAATACGAGCATCATTATTAATTCTACATTGCTAACATTTCGAAATTAATAGTAGTTAGCGTACCTATTTGATTGTATAAAAAGATACTATTTTATTAAATAGAATATTAGAAAAGGAAAACAATGTGTAGGTACTTGCCTCTGCGTGTTTTATCTACAACAACAACACACTAAATTCAATTAATTTGGTTCAAATCACAACACATATGTTTGTTTACAAAAGAATTTAATGACATTTCTTTTACACACTTTTTTAAATCGCTCTTTTATAGACTTGAATTCGTAGATATTGACATTTCAGTGCGTTTTACGGTAAAATTTAGTCGGTTTTAGGAAGTCAAGGCACGTCTCTTAAAATTTAATACGAGGTTATAGTTTGAGGTTAATTTGAGGTTTAGGTTCATTAAAACTGATAGCGCGATTGCATTTTGTGCGTCGGTAGAACCATTAATTAACCAAAACCATAACCTCAAATGTTGTAAGGTTAAACCTTGCGAAAATAGCGCGATTGGCCCCCAGATAGACACAGACCAAGATTGTATAAGATTAAGAAGATTTAAGAGGGAGCAGAGGAAAAATTCCTAATCTTCGATTTGATTTTAGAGGGGTATATCCACTTTAAAGTTAAAAATAAAATATTGTGTGAGTAACTACACGATATATTCAAGCATAGACATTAATCAGAAACATAAAACAATAAAGTTTCCTCGATAGATAAAAATCATGAAATGACCTCTAATTTTCACATTTTTTCGATTTATCCTCGAAATGCTACAGGTTATTAGGACAAAAATTAGATAATTAATTATATTTATGCATGATCGACAACTGTCACTACGGATTTTTTTAAATCCCTGTAGTTTTAGAGTTATTCCGCTAAAACGAATTTGGTACTTTTAATACGCAAAATTCAACATCTCCTGTCGCATGTCACGCGAACTTCAGGCATATATTTGTTTCACAAATTTGGTCGGAGCCAACGTCAAAACTTTTTTGGCATGAGAGCTCTTAAATATTCAGTCATAAGTTTCATAAGTGTGTATTATACAGTCCATACATCGAGTTCAATACACACACATTTACACGTTCTATACGGAGTTTTATTAAAGGACCTTACAGAGCCTATATTATGTACATAATTAACCTTCTTCTTAAAATAAAGCTTAACTAAAAGCAAAGAAAAAAGTAAAATCCGTTGCCCACTGTACCGAAATCGTAGCGGGAAATCCGCGGGTTATACGTCCCCGATTCTACGAACAATCCTGAAAAGTGTTACAAATGACGAAACGTTTAATACCCAACTAAAACTCATTTCATTGGATAATTCGACAGTGTCGATGAGTTTCTTTTGAAACAATTGTAATTATGTTTTACTTGACTTCGTTGTATTTAGACAATCAGTAGTTATACTACTTTATTTTATGTTCATTATTATTGTTTGCGTTAGTGACGATCATATACCACATAAGGGATACCTTGACACTGTATTTTTAATTGTAATATTGTGACATTGATAATATGAAATAAATGATTCTATTCTATTCAAAGTAACATATGAAGCAAAGACTTGCTTGAATGGTAAAGTCTAACAATTTCTTCAAGAAGTTCTTCATATTATATATTGTACATGGCTTTTTAAACATGTACCTGTGTAAAGTTTTCTCACATTTATATAAAATTTTTAATAATTTTCAGGTCGTCAAATAGTGGAAGAAAATACGATCGAACATGCAATAGACATGGATAAAATACAGCAGATTACGGGCGCGAGCAAACCGCGCGCGCAGCTTCAATTCAAGAACGATATGCTGGTTGAAGGTAGCGGAGGCAGGGATCTTGCCCCGGGAGTTGATCCGGTATTGGTACAAGTACGTATTCGAATCCAATCGACGTAAATCCTCCTCCTCCCCCCTTTCCTCCTGGCCTTGATAAGTTATGTTCGGCAATGTTTAACTGATTCGCGGCAGCCACCACCTTATTATTTTTATTATAAGTATTTTACGAATTTCATTTAATAATGAATATCCAGAAATTGATATATTTGACTCGAGACATTCCAATTGAAATCCACATTAGGAAGCTTTTATAACATGGTACAGTGATTTATAATTGAGGCTATCAGCACAGTGGTGTAACCCGCATTCATTTTGTTTCTACAATATAAACTTTAAATGTTACCATGGATCAATAATTCAATAGAACTGCTAATCGCGGTACAAAACAGCGGGTATTTAGTACCCATTTGTACACCAGATGTCGCGATGAGTACCAAATAGCTATTTTTGTAAGCAGTTTGTAAATATTTTTTTATTGAATTGATATTCAATTATTTTTTATGTGAAATTACTCCACTAGTTTGTTATAATTATTAATACAATGATCGAACACTTCTTTCGATCGGGCCGTATTCGAACCGACGTCTTCTAGCATACGTTGTCTAGAAGACGTCGGTTGGAATCTGGCCGGTTTTTTTCCGGTGTCCAATCTTTGTATTAATAAGTATAATTTGTAAATAATTGAGGAACTACAATTGATCAAAGCTACTCTAATTTCTAGTAATATAAACAAATCAACTAAATGGCATTTATTCCACATAATATTTTATGGATACTTGATACTTGGATACATGTAATTTAGTATCATATAAAGTATAAAGTAATATTGTAGAAAAAAATTTGGGTTTCACCACTATTGCGCTGATCGTCTCAATTTGTTACTTGGTAGTAATTATAATATTGGCTATTGCCTGGTTATTTGAATGTACAAATTTGTAACTTGTCTTAAACATTCGTGGAAATTGTTTAGCTAGTTTTAGTTTCATATGTGTTAATAATGAAATATATTATAATAATGATGCTGTATGCTTCCCAAATAAATTAAAAGAAAAAGGAATTTTTGTTCATAGGAAATGGAAAAAAATAAATTTTTTGGGATCGACTAATCTACTATAGCGTATATTTGTTTTCTTCAAACCGTGTATGTTTAGTTTTGTCAGTCTTGACCATGGGATTCGTAAAAAGCCCGAAACGTCGACTTGTTTGAAAAAACAAATTTACGTGATTTAGATCAGAAAAAATAGTTTAATTTCCTGTGTGTAACAATCGCAAAAACCTAAGAATTCGATAATTTTTGTTCTTTTTTTTTGTTATTGCACCCTTGCAGCCCGCCATTTTAATTTTGAACAAAAAAAATACTTTTGAAATTTATTTTCATTGCAATTTTTTTATTTGTCTTCAATGGTATTTCTAGTTCAACGAGACAGTGGAAAAAAAAGAGTACGCTGCAGTGACGCGGCTGCCGGCGGCGGGCAAGGTGCAAGACGCCATGCTGCAGGAGATGAGCGATATGGGGAAATGTCTTTCCATGCACCAACCGTGGGCTTCGCTGCTCGTTGAGGGAATCAAGATGTAAGGAACTTGGCTTGTGAACACTGTGGTGCTCTTAGAGGTTGTACAAATAATAGCTTTTACTAAGGGTTCAATTTACTTGACTTCAAAATTATTACAACTTTTTTATTAAAAAAACGATCTCAAATTGCCAAGTTTTATTGTCATAACGTTATCGTTAACAGCAAGGTTTTTTGAAGTCGATTAATAATAATAATAATATTATTATTATTTATAAACACCATATTAACACATCTATACACTAAAGCAGTCACGGAATAGTGGCCAAGAGAAGCGAAAAGGCCTGTGGGCAGACCTCCAGTCCGATGGTCTGACGATATCGTCATATTTGCGGGATCGCGCTGGATGCGAGTGCGCAGGATCGAAAATATTGGCGCTATAAAGAAGAGGCCTATGCCCAGCAGTGGGTTGATATTGGCTGACCATGATATTAACACCTAAATAAATTGTATGCTCATTGCAAACACATTAAGTCAAGGGTCAAACAGTTTGTAGCAGTTTGGCCATTTTTTCTTAACTAATTTTTCATTAAATAATTGCTAAATAAATTATTGGCTTGCCAAAACTACGTGTCAAAACAACGTCGCACTTTATAACAACCTCGACACAAGGCCAAGGCCATGTGGCCTTGTGTTGTGACGTCATATGACGTTTCGCATCAGAAGCGATTATTTCTAGTGGCGCACCGCTAGATGGCATTGAACGATTTTACACTTTTTCTGAATCGCGGTGTTAAGATTTTCCCTCGATGAATGACCCGGCTCGTACAATTTTAGTGAGACAAGACCTTACTTCATAGGATCATTTCTATAGTAAGCTCTTCAAGCGAGTTTCACACTACGTGAGATTCTGTTAGCCGCGACGATGAGATGTGGCGCGGCGCCCTGAGCGTGAGGTAGGCGATGGTGGCTCACCATCAGCCCTCGATGATCGTTCGCTCCCTCATGCGAGTGGGGGAGAGTGGGGCGCTGTCGCTTTCTGAGCGGTTAATTTTTGAAACCCTTTTAATACCTGTATTACATGACAATCGTCATATAGAAACACTAATTTGGACTTGTGCCTTACTTCGGTCTTAAGAGGAGCGATTCCCAATAAAAAAATTTGAGATGGGAAAAGCTGGTTATTTGTTTAAACGTGTGTCACATTAGGAGTTAAGTAGATATTTTTTAACTATTTCTAGTATTTCTTACAATATTCAAACGACGGTTTTATTGACGTGTAGAGAATATCAAATTTTACGTTCAGTTATGATATAATATTGAATTTCACGAATTTTGAGTTACAACACTATTGTAACAGCAGTGCGATATACTATATTTGTTGTATTTGAGTTTGATATTTTATATAGATATGTTTATTAATATGTATATATGTTTAAAATAAATACACATGGTGTGCAAGTGTGTTAAATTTGATAAAGAAAATAAAAATAACTATGATACAAGTTTATTGTATAAGTATTTATAAGTTTATATTTGAACCTTATTTAAATCTTAATATTTATTTGGATTTTTGTAATAATAATAACGCACACACTGTAGATTTCTTATACGAGCTGGCAAATGTATAATTGTGCATCTCACTCGAACTTGCACTAAAAGCAATGATGGTCCTTTAGTTGTCTCGTTTGCACCGTCTCGCCTCGCGCTTGTGAACTGAAAGAATTAAAGAGACTGGTAGACTCATATGATCGACTCGCGTTTGTGGCTCCGCAAACAGGTCCCATTCCGACTGAACTAAAAATACAGGTGAACTAAAAACACCATGCACAAGGAACTAGTTCCTTGCGGTCCGTGTCAGGAATTCATTCCTAATAGTTCTTAGTTCATGAACTACTCAAGCCTACTGTAATTGTGTGAATAGGAAATTGAGGAATTAATTAAATTTGAATATTGTCTGAATTTTAGTATGTGATATTTGTTGTCTTATAATGATTATTGCACGTTGAAATCGATACCGTCACTAAATGAAAAAGTAAATTTTTGAGAAATGGTTCTGAAATTAAGTTGTATATTTGAAAAAACTAGTTTTGTGTATATAATGACGGTGTTGTTTTCAACGTGCAATATGTTACTTATTTATAAATAAGTAAAATTGTATATATTAAACAACAAACTGTATATAGTTGCCTAAGAAAATAAATGTCTATTATTTCTGTATTCCTTGTGTTCACCGATGATTTGGCACTGTATTACTAGCAGTAGAGCTCCTTGTGAAAGAGTTCGTCCAGGGAAGTGCTGGCTTAGCCTTACCTATTTCTGCCGCCGGTTTTGAATGGTAAGGGTCCTGGTGAGTTTATAGGCTCATGGAACTTGTCAACTTATGTCTCAGAGGGAAAGGCGCAGTGGCAGTGTCATTTGCGATTTAAAGCTCTGAGTGGCACTGCCACTGCTATGGTCAGGCGTGTCGCTTACCACCAGGCGCACGACTTGTTCGTCCCGTCACTTGGTGTCATAAAAAAAACTTTAAATATTTTTTGTAGGATTTGTTAGCAAGAGATAACTGTTTCATATTTGTCAGGCATGAGGGGCGTACGTGGTATACGAGCCACCGCGGGCGGCTGTGGATTGCATCGACCGCCAAGCCCCCGGAGCCTGACATCATTAAAGCAATAGAAAACCAGTACCGGGTGCTTTATCCAGGTATGTCTTAAAATATTAAAGGTTTTTGGTTTCGTGCGAAACCAATAGAAAAATCTTCGTAATAAGATCGCCTGTTGCATATTAGCTTATTCTGTCATACTTACATTACTGTTCTGTGTTGCCTAGGGTTTTATTCCTAGGAATCTCGAAAATTCAATTTCGCCAATTTTTGGCATTTTCGACACTCAAGACTAATTTTGAAAAATAAATTAATTTTTTCAGTCTCGGGAATATCGGGATTTATGTCACTTAATTAAAAAGTATTAAACTAACCAATCTCGAATTGGTCTCTGGAAGGAGAGATACCCCACAGCAGCAACTTAGAAGTCTCCAAGTGTCGACACGTTAAAAAGCAAAAGAATTAAAAAGTATTAAAAATGTACTAAACCAAATGTCATTTAAATTAAATTGAAAAGTTTAAATCACTAATTACAAGTTTCTTACCACGGTATGACTTATTCTTATTTTCCTGACATTTCGAATCGATTATCAAAGAAGTCGTACCTAGGTAGGAAACCCGTAATTAGTGATATTCATCTAATGGATAACCACGAAAGTCTTAAACTGTATTTTTTTATTCGGGTTACATTCACTTGGCAACACTGTAGAGCGGAGCTAACTTTAATCTGTGGAGATTGAAGAACGGCAGTAACAAAATTAGGTTCTCTAGGACTAGGGCTTAGGACTCCTTATTCCCCGATAGGTTATTGAGACATTAAAACCAGAGATAGATAGATTTTTCTATCTTTAGTATGCCTAAATGGGCGATAGATAGAATATTGGGAACGGCCGTAAAAAAAATAAAAAAGTAAATTATAATAAACGCCCTTTGTTTTTTACGTACCCATTATATAAATGGAAAAGTAATTTTCATAAATAATTTTTCATTTTATAACTTCTGAGAACTTAAAATTAAAATATCATGTTTTGAGTTTTGACTGCCTAAATATCTAGCCTATAAGTGGAAACCTACTTTTGAAACAGTCTCGAAAGTCGCGTTTTTCTCGGGATTTTCGAGACCGTACTGCATCTCGATATTTGTTTCCCGGAATGCGGAAATACAACAAGACTGAGAGCTCTAATCTGCCACCGTTAGTTGAAAGATGGCATGTGACATTTAAAAAAAAGTTATGTATTCTTTCGTGATCAGTAAAAAAAGGCCGAGCTGTCACTATTTTTATTTTTTCTTACGTGGATAAGGAATTAAGTTGCCGTAAGATAAAAATAGATATTTTTTAATTTAATTGTTTTTAAAACATTATTTTCTCGTATTTGAGATTTTGTCACAAGCCCTTTCAACTACCGGCAGCAGTAGTGTTGTCATTGTAATGTTTAAATAACAATAAAGAATATTACATTCATTTACTCAAATAACCACATCCCAACTTTTACTTATTTTACCGTTAATTTTAAATTAATTACAGAAAAAAATTTCAAGTTCCCATCGTTCTACCCAACTGGCTGTCTTCTTGGCTGTGTCAATGTGGACGACTGCTTGCCGCAGGAGGAGTACATCAAACAGTGAGTCAATCATATTGATAATTGAAATTAATTGGAAAGTAAATTTTATTCAACAAAAACAGACTTTAATAAATATATTAAATATAATAAATATTTAATATATTTATTATATTAAATATAATAAATATAATAAATATGTTAAAACAACTTAAATATCAACAAGGCTTAGTCAATAGTTACTAAAATCAAGGTTCCGAACTTATCAAGACGTTTATTTTCTTTGATGATTGTCATGTCATTTAGGCCCAGTGGTTACATAAAATGCTAGTGGACTGTAAATTAACTTATTATGTTCGACAAAAGGTAATTTCAATAATTGTAACTTTTTTATAAAAAGAAACCGACTTCAAAAGTTCGTGGAATTACATATATTTGCCCAGTTATATTGGTATATTGAAATGGTATATTGAAATCGGATACCGGAAAGTGCGCGAAACCGGATTCATCCCCTAGTTTGCCACCCTTAGGGGTTGAATATTTACTTCAAATTTAAATGGGACCAATACTGAGGTTCCCCCTTTCCAACAAAAATAATTATCAAAATTGGTCCACAAATCCGGAGTTATTGCGTAACATACGATTATCGTATATAAAAAAAAAATACAGCCGAATTGAAAACCTCCTCCTTTCTAAACGTCTTTCTTTAAATTTTACTGCACGGTGCGCGAACAGTGTTGCTATGTCTGTGCTTAACAATAATTATCTGATATATATCCGGTAATTAGCCATGCTGATTTATAGTTTGTGTCACTTTAATTTTTGACTAAAAATGACAAACAGTGAGAACTAAATAAACACGAAGAAATGTTTTGATCACTTTGGAAAAAATATGTAGTAAAATTGAGGATACACTAATTACTATACGGAGTGAAAACACGATTTCTAAAAATATTCACGATAGAAAAAAAACACAAACGTACCTCGAAATTTTACAAGAAAACCGCTGTATTCAGTAGGTACTTTACATGTATTAATGATTTTTTTTATATCAACTGAACTAAATAGAGCATGTTTAGCATTGACTTACAATTAAATGGACGACGGGTCTAATACAAAAACCACGAAAAAAATATCCCAAGTCAACCTATTTAAACGTAGTGACATGTAAAGGAATATGAAAAAGCTAAAACGTTGAATTTAAATTGTAATGTCATCGCAGTACTGTCTAATTTTGCTTGCTTCGCTGTCAGTCGAACAAACGAAGACTAAAGCGTGAATGACGCTCTGTATACGATTTTAACACCCTATAAGTTCGGACACTTTTTAGCGCGGACCCGACGTCCATATAATTGTAAGTCAATGATGTTTAGTATACGATATACATTTTTCAAATGACTTTAATTCTCGTTTCTAAAAAAAATAATTCTGAAATAAAGCCAGTGTTCCTGTCACTCGACCCAAGAAAAATTAACCGTATTAATTAGTACGGGAAAAATTTGAATTCAAGCTGGGGTAGTATTGTAGCAGGCAGCTTAGGTTTTGAATTTGGAATTACATAAATAATAGAGGGTTGATCAAACGGACATCTTAATATTTCTAGACCAAGATTCCAAATGGAATACATGTTATATTTATGAATAGTCGTCGTTTCTCTTATAAAAGTACCTCTCTCAAAGCAGTCTGAGTTACGCAGTCTATAGTATCGACTCCTAAGATTGACATTTAGCACGTTTGGATACGTTTCTGATACAAACTTATGGAACGACATTGCTAGCGGCAGCATTTTGCTGTTCCAAGTAAATAGGAAGGTATATTATTATATTTTATATTTGTCGTGATAATTTTATTATCATATTTAAGTAAGTATGCTTGCTTATGGTTGTTCCGTGACCTCACTTTGGGTCCTAAGCGAAAAAGAACGCATTGCGTTTTCCAACAAATGCTGAGTTAGTGACCCTTTTGTAACGCAGCTGGCACCACACAAAGTATCTCTTTACGTAGTGTTTGTATATAAATAGCTTGTGTTTTAATTAAATTTTTTTCATGTTTTATATTTTGTTTTTTCGTTTTAGTTTTGTTTGTGTTTTTATTTAATAATTATTTATTTATGGTTTACGTCTGAGTTGAGAAGGTTATTCAAAAATCTCACTATAGTACTTAACTAAATGTAAACAATCTTGAGATGTCTATTTAATGAAATACACACATCAAAAGTGTCTAGGGATCAAGTGAATATTTTTGAAATAAAAATTATTTAAGCAATATTTACCAAATCCAGTCTTCCAGGACGACTTCTTACTTTAATGCTTATGTTTTATTTAACCGCTTACCCCTATATTTAATTAAAATAAACTAAAATTGATGTTTTTGCAAATTGTGGGAAAAAACTCAAATTAACGGCGTCAATTAAATGACAAAAAAATGGCGAAAATGATGATTTTGCCCATTTTTATTGTAAAGATAAGAAAATTAATAATCTGTATTTCCACCATTAACACGAATCACACAATTACAGCGATTTGGCATGCTTAAGATGAGTTCATCAAAATCACTTTGAGGAATGGCCGCCCATGTGTTTTTTAACAAGTCAAAATATTGTTGTAGAGCATGTACGGTATGCATACTCGGCACAGCTCTTCTTTGAAGCATATCCCATGCGTGCTCAATTGGATTGAGGTCTGGCGATTGAGCAGGCCACGGCAGAACGTTGATACGAGCTTCGGCAAGAATGCGTGTTACGACTCTAGCCGTGTGTGGACGTGCGTTGTCATGCATTAGTTGAAATGAATCACCCAACTGGCCTCGCAAAGGGATGATAACATCTGAAACAATCCTCTCTGCGTAAACTTGAGCATTGAGGTTACCCCTGATCCAAATGAGATCGGTTCTTCCGCCGATCCAAATACCGGCCCATATCATTATTGTTCCCCCACCATATGGATGAACTTCCTGACAATATCTCAAACGTTCATGACGTCCAGATGTTCTCCAAACTCGAGTACGTCTTGTATCCGGTCTCATACCGAAGCGGGATTCATCCGAAAAGCACACATAGCGCCAGTCTTCTTCCTCCCAGTTTCTGTGTTCGCGAGCCCATCGTAAACGGGTCCTGCGATTGCAGGGTGCAATAGGTGGAACTCTGAGCGGCCTTCGGGATCGCAGACCCACTTCACGTAAACGATTTCGGATTGTTTGATCGCTTATTAGCAAGCCTGAGGAGCTGTGGAGCCTCGTAACCAACATCATGGCGGTCATGGTACGATTCCGTCGAGCAGTATTTTGGATATACCGGTCCTGTCTGCGAGTCGTGATGCGAGATCGTCCTCCATGTCGCTCGGCCACGCTGCCCGTCATGCGATAGCGCGTCCAGAGGCGACTTATGACGCTCTGTGTAGTGTTAAGAGTGAAAGCCACAGCACGTTGCCTGGAACCAGCTTCCAACATTCCGACGGCTCGCATCATCACTTCTCGGGTTAAATGATGTCGTCTCTCCATAATAATGTAAATTGTTTCGGTTCCGATGCAGATATTGTAATGATTTTGTCAAAACGCTATAACTCATTTGTATACAAAACCACATTGACAATCGATTTTCTTCATATTATCGAATTATAAACAATATTCCTTATTTAAATGTTAAAACTCATAAAAAGTATCAATAGCGATACAAAAAAGTTAATATAATTAACCCAAATTGCAGCAATACTCTTAAACGTACTTGATCCCTAGACACTTTTGATGTGTGTATATATTTATAGAATTATTTTTACTTACCTTCAAAAACAAAACACAAATACTTAGCTTCCTATGAAATTGCGATGAAGACGCGGGTTCATGCCCCACCGGGTCGACGAAACTTTTTCTGTGTGTCCGATCTTTGCATTTATAATCATCACGTCTGCGTGTTTTGACTGTGTTTTGTTTTTCTACAGTTTTATTTTGTGGTGTCATTTGTGGTTAACAAATAAATGTATTTTCTTTTCTTTTTGTTGCTTAATTATTATTATCATGATAGTTATAAATGTGGTGAGAAGTACAATAGTAATTGTACAAAAGTAATTGGCATTATCACAGGCCGACGCGATCGGGAGTAGAGCTCGCCATGACGCACTGGCCAGCGCGGCGTTTTTAAGTCTTAACTTCTTTTTTAGCGTAACGTATATAGTTGTATAATGTTTTTTACAGATACCCCGACGGTGAAAGCGATAGTCCATATGTGTTCATCTGTTCCAATCCCATGAGCTTGAAATTACGTTTCCCAATCCAAGGGCAACATAAGATATGTGAGTTATCTTTTAATTTTTTACAACTGCTTCGACTCTGCGCCAGCGTGAGTTGAACCCAATCCGACCTGCTTGCGTGGTAGGCTGAGTGATTGGTCGAGATCCATCATACTCCGTTCCGTATTATCAAGGACAGGTGACTACGCGTTTATTATTGCTATATTATGTTTTTCAAATGTATGCATGTTTGTCCATTTCTTTTTCATTTTGTATAGCCTAAACGGCTTAATGGATTTTATTTATGAGTAGTCGTTAGACTCGTCTTGACTGTGCGAGTGTCATAGGCTATAAAAATAATCAAAATCCTCACTATTTTGATTATTTTTATAGCCTATGACATGGTTGAATATTTTTTTTATCTTTCCAGCTTAATATTTTTGCGATCGGCTTTTTGTTTTTTTAAATAACTTTTATACTTGTTAACATAAGTTTTTGTTAAATGGTGGAGTATGCGCGCTATCTAGTACAGATTTTTGATAATACGCCTCGTCACTGTGTCGGCGTCCGAATGGTAGTAACAAAACGCCCGAACAGTGCATCAGCTTATTGTGTCAACCACGATTGCCACACATCGATTTCGCGTTGATAAGTGTGACTCCCTTATTTTATAATAATGAAAGTATATTTTATTTCAGACGCGCTGGACAAAACGATTCACAAGGCAGCTGTCAAATGTTTGCAGACAATGTCAAAATATCTATCCGAAGAAGCCAATGCGGGGTAATAGCACTATAAAATTGTTTGTATTCTGTACGCACGTTAGCATTTATATTGTTTTTATATTAAAGCAATATTTTAAAATATAAAATTTCGTTATTGTTTGTTTTCACGTCAATTCTTTTCAGCATAGTTTGGCTCACTAAAGTACCGGCACGCTTTGATGGCCGTTTTGACAGATTGCAATAATGAGGTGACATTTCAATACATTATCGAAAAAATATAATCAAATGCTAGTTGCACATATAAGTTTTTAGATTATTAAACCATAAACAAAATCCATATTAACGAGGAAGGGTCAATAGTAATGCATATCTATTACAGGGTTATTTTGAAAATGCTAACAATTTTTTCAGATTTTGTTGTACTCTCTGACACTTTGTAGGTCTGTATAACAACACGCCTCCCGTGTGTTGTCATTAATACAATTCGATCGACGACACTTTGACACAATTTTAGTTGTGATAGATACAAAATAAAATATTAAAAAAGCAAAAATAATTTAAGTACTTACCAAAATCAAATCAAGTGTTACTGCGTGAATTACGCGCACACACTCAGATCGACATAACCGCTGTCATTCCAAACATTTGGAGAGTTTGTGAATAAAATACAATAAAAACAACCTATATATCCAGTCAGCCAACAAAATTGTAATATGAACTGTGGATTTGACGAGTTACATTACATTTACTTTGAGATAACTCCAAGTCGGGTACACATCGCCCTTTCTTGACTACTTTTAGTTTATCATTAAAAGAAAACTTTAAATTCGCCGTTAATTAACTTTCGCGATCAATACAACTGTCACCGCTAAAACACATATTTGTTGAATTATGACACTGTCACAACAAATTATATGAATAAAGTAAGAAAACCACATAAAAATCAATTACTTTACAAATAAGGTCACACCGGGTCACAACAAATTTATGGCGAATAAAGTTCACCGTTCACCGTAGGACGTACAATGAAAAAGTAGATATCGCCAAAATTCCTTTTATATTTTCGCCGCTAGCACTAGCAAAATTGACGAATGGAAGTGATTAGGCTCTATGGTGTAGTGATTTGAATGTTTGGCTTCTGTTCTGGTGGTCGTGGGTTTGATTCGCGTACCTGCTTGACAGCCTGCCGCTATGGTGTAGTGATTAAAGTGTTAAGCTTTCAGTCTGGAGGTCGGGGGTTCTATTCTCTCAGGCGACTGCGTCTATGGTGTAGTGATTACATTGATAGGCTCTTGTTCCGGTGGTCGTGGGATCGATTCCCGTAGTTAATAGCCTACCTACATACCAAAACGGGCGGCACGCGCAGTCGCAGAGAAGTACTGCAAGTCTTTTGGCGGCAAAACAATGAAAAAATATCGCCAAAATTCTTTTGATTTTTCGCCACCAGCACTCGCAATTGATGAATGGAAGTGATTTGGTTTCATGGTGTAGTGGTTACAGTGTTAGGCTTTCCGGAGATCGTGGGTTTGACTCCCACATTTGACTGTCTACATGGTGTAGCAGGAGTGTTAGACTGTTGTTCCGGTGGTTGAGGGTTTGATTGCCGTAATTGACAGCCTGCCTCCACGATGTAGCAGTTAGTGTTTATCTCTCTGTCTGGAGGTCGTGGATTCGACTCCCATAGTTGACCACCTCCATGGTGTAGCAATTACAATGTTAGGCTTTTGTTCCGGTGCTCACGGGTTTGATTGTCGTAGTTGACAGCCTGCCACCATGGTGTAGTGGTTAGAGCGTTTATCTCTCAATCTAGAGGTTGTGAATTCTATTACCATGAAAAAAAAGGTGACTGCCTCTATGGTGTAGTGATTAGAATGTTAGGCTTTTGTTTTGGTGGTCGTGGGTTCTGTTCCCATAAGTTATATGGTGTAGTGATTACAATGTTAGAGTCTTGTTCCGATAGTCGTGGGTTTGGTTCGCGTAGTTGGCAACCTTTTTTTTTGCCATAATGGTGTAGTGGTTAGTGTTTATCTCTCAGTCTGGGGGTCGTGGATTCTATTTCCATAGGGACTGTCTCTGTGGTGTAGTAATTACAGTGTATTCTGGAAGTTCTTGGTTCGCAATTCGCGGGAATACGTGTGACATGCGACACATGATTTGAGTGATGGAACGGCAAACAAATGCACGTGTTCAGTGCAACATTGAAAGTCATCGACCCGTAGGACGTACCTATTTGTTTGTAGGACGATAGCGTTTGATATCTGGGTATCAAAATCGCTAAGCTAATAAGCACCTAGGTACTTACTTGAATATTTAACGTGGTTTATTTATTTCTGTTGTTTTTTTATTTCATGATTATTTGCAATAATAGACTATCATGTGTAATTGGTATCATGAGTAGGGAATTATTTTAAAAAGGTGCTCGAATATCCGACCCGGTTTGAACAGGTTTCTCTCCGTACGCGCGTACGCGACGAAGCCGCCAGAGCTCACGCACACACGCGCCTCCAGCTTGTAAGTGTACTCATAGCGCGGTTGAATGAAACTGTCTTTGTGTGATTGTTGCGTGCGTTGCGGTCACAGAGTTGTAACGTTTAGAGCAATCTATTTAAATATTTTTATTTTTGTATGAAAGTAAAATGTAACGAATTTTCAAAAGTCATGGAACAAAAGTAGTTGTTCATGGTGTTAGTATAACACACCTGAGAAGTTGTTAGCATTTTTAAAATAACCCTGTATATATTTTCACAATCACAGTTTGTTCTTTTCGAAGCAACGTCAATTCGAAACTGCTTTGTTTTGCATTGAGCTTTGACGCGAGTTTGCCGGAGGTAGAAGTTGTCCTGCCCAGCGATCGTATTAGATTTTACTTTTTTAAATTTCCAATTTCGAGTTGTGTCGTAAAATTATACATTCCATGAGTTTTATTGCACGTCACTATTGTCAACAATGTACAGCAATTAGCTCCTTCAACGTAGTTATGAATTAATACGAAACTGGATCAGTGGACAAACGTTAAAACAGTCATCATAGCGTGCCGGTACTTTAGTTACTACATTTTCTGCTAAAAGGGTACTGGTGAAGTTACAGGCACATGAGACTATTCAACTTATGTCTCAGGGTGACGGGCTCAGTGGCAGTGCCCCTCATGTCTTTACGATTAAAAGCTCTGATTGGCACTGCAACTGTTATGGACTGGAGGGTCGCTTACCACCAGGCGCATGACTTGTTCATTCCGCCACTTGATAACGTATAAAAAAAAGATTGCGCGCTAAAATCACGTTACTTTTAAATTATGCAATTGTAAATCTATTTTTATGCAAAGTGCCCTTGTATATGTGTTTGGCTTGTACTCTTTTAAAGTAGTAAATAATTAAACACTGAAAGAAACTAAGTAGCTAAGACTGGTAGCTTTAAAATTTTTCGACTAAAACTACATATATATATTATTAAGATATTTTATTGATTTATTTACACAATTAAAATCTAAGATTTTCAAAATAAATATAAATACACACGCACATCTATCATACACACTTTCACACAAGATCAACAAAAATGTATTAAAGTCACACAACAATGAACGTAAATAGTACTTGAATTTAAATCGAGGCATTTTTGAAGTGCGCGCTGTGAAGCAAAATTCAATTTAACTTTAAGCCCTATGAACTAAAAATGAATTATTACAATATTATTGTTAGGTAATTTTAATTTGCCTATAATTGTTGTCTTTACAATAAAAGCCACGTCACTCCATTTAAGTGTCACTACAGTCTTGGATCGCTTGCGCCCAGCATCTTGCTACAATTTAAGACGTGAGTCTCGGTTGTTATAAATAAAAAAAATAAAAAAACGAGTGCACACTTCAAAACATTACTTATATCTCTGTAGTATATAAATGTAAAAGCTTATTATCTAGAATTAGCACCAGTCAGCACCGAACAGTTATAAGTTACAAACGGAGGTGGGTTGCCAATAGAATAAATATATAATACAGTGCCACCAAATTCTATGTATTTAATTTAATATGCAAAACTACCATTGACTTACAAATAAATGGACGACGGGTCTAATACAAAAACCACGAAAAAAATGTCCCAAGTCAACCTATTTAAACGTAGTGACATGTAAAGGAATATGAAAAAGCTAAAACGTTCAATTTAAATTGTAATGTCATCGCAGTACTGTCTCATTTTGCTTGCTTCGCTGTCAATCGAACAAACGAAGACTAAAGCGTGAATGACGCTCTGTATACGATTTTAACGCCCTATAAGTTCGGACACTTTAGTGCGGACTCGACGTCCATATAATTGTACGTCAATGAAAACTACAGACTTTATTTAACAGGCGAAACTACTCAAAACTACTCTAAAAGCTGTTGATACCTGCACGTTTTATATCTTTAAGATTGACTTTCTCATGTGATGAAATATTTATGGAGCAATACCATAGGAATTATAAAATTAGTGGCACTGTACAATTAGAGCATTGCTCTAAGACTGTACATATATGGAAAATAGAACCGAAAATCGAAATTCATCAATCTTCCTATGCCTACGTAAGTTTCTATTATGACTTCTTGGTTTTTATTAATTTCCTTTCATTTATGCATAAAATACATACTTTATCGTCATCGACTCTCATACCTTTGCATGGATTATTTTTCAAAGTACTTATTTCTTCTAATCTACAGTTTTACTTTGGCAGTCTAAAAGAATTTGGTTGGAGAAAGCTTAATTTTTAAATAGGAACTTTACGATTCCTTCTTCTGGTTGATTTGCGGAAAGAATGCTTCTATAGGAAGAATGGGATCGTCTGTAGCTATTGTGAAATAATTAGGTATTCTTCTGCTACTTGTCGAAACAGTCTTGAACATTCCAGGGGTGTTGTAATCTTTGCTCGCAGCCAACGTCAAATCTGACACTCTCTTTGAGTGTTCGAAAAGGTTCTCAATATGATCGTGATGTTTCTTGTCAGCTATTTTCATAATAGCACTTTCTGATCGCGTCCTCTCTGAAGTAATATCACTACCACTTGCAGATTCTGTTACACTGACGTCTTGTACAGACTCGCCATGTTCTGAATCTTTAATCTTTTTTCTTAAAATTCTTTTGCGGTCTGTTGTAGGGCTGGAAGTCTCAGTGATTTGTTCTGCATCAGTAGGTTTTGGTCTACGTGATCCATTTCGGATTCGAGAAGATATCTTCTGCGTTGTGCCTTCGGTAGGTTCAATCGTCTGCCTGTTTCTATTTGGCCTGATGGAATGAATCTCCTTTTCCGTCTGGTCATTGACTTCAGAGGCATTCGATTTTTGCCTCGGGTCTTTTGGAGTAAACTTCTTTCGTTCACTTGTTGTTTCATTCTCGCTGACCGGTATTCTCCTTTGAGGGAATCTAATTTTAGGCACGTTTGATTCGGCGGGTTTGTCCGTGGTACTTGTCGTTGAGCTTAAACGGTTTCTGTAATCTTTGACGTTAAAGTTTGGTCTGTTATATTTATTTTTTAACCTTGGTCTTATTATTTTTCCTGAGTTGGATGTAGTTTCAATTCGAATCGTGGTCGTCACATCATTGACTTCACTGCTTTCTTTAATCCTTTCAGTTGTGAGTTCTCGCACTGGTTCCAATTTAGCTTCAATAGGTTTAGCATCTCTATGGAAAGAGAAATTCTTAGAAGGTTTGATTACTTCCGTTTTGCTCGTAGTCCTTAGCGCATCACTGAGATTTACAGCGATATCACTCGTAGGAGTGTCTTTTTCATCCTGCTTATGACTGTAATCTGGGACGGCACTGGATTGATATTCAAAACCTGTCGATGAAATTTTAGGCAAATAAGGTCGAGATGATGCCGATATTTTCATAATTGGAGATTCCTTATTAGAGTCGTATTCTTTATATGAGGTAGTTATTTCCGCCTTCTCTGTTGTAGTAGTTGTGTGTGGACGACGGTGGACTAACTTTTTTTTCACTATAGTTGGGGATGTTGGTGAGACTGTCGGTACAGCGCTAGTACTCAAATCCGTAATGACCGTGGGAGTTGTCGATTCTGCTTTTACTTGAGCTGGTCGTACTCTAGCTCTAATAGTATGAGTTTCGTTATTGGGTTCGGTCGACGAGACATGCCTGTGTATACTGGAGTCATGATCGCGGTTGATATTGGCTAGAGGTGGGCGGCGTCTCCTTAACTTATTCCTCTTACGACCTCTATCCCTTTCGGTAGGAGGTTCCGCAGTACTGACTGGTCGTTTGAAATGCTTATTTGGAGGCAATGTAGGAAGAGGTTCCACGGATAATTCATAATCTTTATTAAAGTAGGTTGTTACTTCTGGAGCGGAAAACTTAGACGATTCGGTCGGCTTCTTCGTTCTTCGCGCAGGGTGGTCGTCGTAACTGGGAGTCGACACTCTGTAATAGTATTCCTTTAGTTTGTGTTTGCCAATCGGTTCGAAGTCGTCGCCTAGAGGCCGCCTGCTTTGGGTTTCGACTTGACCGTCGTAGCTCAAAGAGTTTTCATGGCCCTTTTCTCCTTCTGTCACGATGGCGTACTCTTCGGGAAGATCCGGCAAAGGTGTGGGCGGTTTACTGTAGGCGGTGTCATACTCCTGTTTTGTGACTGCTTCTTCAGCAGTCTTCTGACTTTCAGGTGTCGCAGACCAAGAAGCAGGGGACGAAATGTGTGTTACGCCGGCGTCGTATAACTCGGTTACTTCGTAGGTAGCTCGGAATGGCACTGAATTTGGTGTGCTTTCTAGTCCTTCTCCTTTAGGTGGACTGACGTATTGCTGTGAAGTTTGTTGGTTGGTTAATTGGGCGAGACTATCGTGAATCTTTTGCTTCTTCTTCGCTGGTGCCTCTTGTTGCTGTTGTTGTTGTAACTGATTATAGTGATTGGTCTGCAGTTGTATCTGTGTATTCTGTTGCGATGGATATTTGTATTCATGGAAGTTATTGTATGCAAACGTTGTTGTTTGAACAGTTGGGTTGTAAGTAGACACTTTATAGTTCCCACTGTATTTATTAACGAAAGGGTCTTGCGGACTGGCTTTAAACGTTCCCTTGCTATTGTTAGGATCGATCTTTTCAGGAGCAGCCAGTTTGGGTGCTAGTGTGGGAACGTTCCAATTTGATCCGAAGTGTACCTGATTCGCTGTTGTCTGCAATTTTGGTGTAGTTGAAAATATTACGTTGGGTGTAGTTTTGAAGTTTGGAGCGAAACTAAACGAGTTAAATAGGGTCTGTTTAGTCGTTTGCGGAGGATAATAGGTGGTCCTAGTCGGGAAAAGGGGATCTCTTCCTTTTATTGAATGCAGACCAAACGAGTTAAACGTTCCTGCAAACAAAATATTAATAAAGATTACTTTTTAAACGGAACAATTATTAAGATTAAACCGCCATGTATTGAACTGTAAGCCACTTACCTAAAATGCTCGGTGGTAAAATAGGGTCTTGGTACGCATACTGCGGGAAAGGATTGGTTGGTACTTTAGGGGTTACTAGTGATTGTTGAGCTGTCTTCACTTGTTGAGTCACAGATTGTGATGCGGGATCGTTATCAGGAAGCTTGTAAACTTCAGGCTTATATGTTTCGATGTCAGCTGAAGCAGAGGGTTTCTTTTCGGGTCTTGCGTATGCATCCGCAGGTTTTCCGTAGCCATCCAACGGCCTTGAAGTAGGTTGTCCAAATTGAATAGGTTGCACATTAGTCAATTGCTGCATGGGATACTGTTGTTTGAATTTAGTCGGGTATTTCGTATAAACTGGTCTCGCAGCGTACGGGTTGTGCGGGTTTCGAATGATGACACTCTCAGCCGGGAAGTTTTGGACGTATTTGTAATGAGTTAATCCATTTGAGGGTAGTGCGAATGGATTTAAGTAACTATTTATTGGCTGGCTGGCAGCGGGGTATGATCCGCCGCCGGCAGGGATTGCCCGAATCGTAGTGGGGCGGTAAGATTGCGCTATCGACGTCAGTTTCGTCGCATCTCTCGTTGAAAGCGGACGTGCCGATGAAGGATATGGATCGTAAACTGGTACGGGTATTTTATAAGATGGCGCGTGTAATGGCGCTGTTCCATATCCAAAAACAAAACCGCCAGAACCGACTACTGGTCTCCAACCACCTTTTGTCAATGGTAGAGACTGAAAACAAATAGAAGTAAGTCATTAGTTAAAAAGCTACAAACACTTGTAAGTCGATCGTTTAAGTACCTATCAACTTTTCTTACCTGTTGTGTGGGCATGGACCGTCGATGTGGTTTAACGCAGTTAATCGCCAATATTAGAGCCTGAACTGCCGCTAGAGCCAGCCATAGCTGCGCCCCTGCAAATTAAGAAATAATGTGGTTTATCAAGCGTTCTTATTATATTTCCTACTTTTTTGAAACTAATCTGAACAAAGTCGATGTTAGGGTTTCTCATCAAGCGTTTCCAAAGGTAATTGAAAGAAAAGGTGGAAGAGTAAGGTCGTAAGAACACAATTACAATAAAATTTAAAATTCCCCGTATAAATCAGTGAAGGTGTTTTAAAAAGGTCAATAAAGCGATCATACGTAAGCTGAGGTGACGAAAGGAGCCTCCCCGCACGACGAACCATTCAGTTCCTGTACGTCTGCCGCATCCTGGGCAACAATCGGCGATTACCTTACGTCGATTGGCACGTCCTTTCACTACGGTGCCGATGGCAAGCATTACAGTTTATGCTATCGACACGATATGAATAAACCCGTAAGCTAACAACTCGCCGAAACCTGTTTAATAAGCCCAAAAACGGTAATTCTACTGTAGGTGCTTAAAAAGTTGGGTAGTACTGTTTGCAGCATCAGATTAAGGTTACCATATTATTGTAAGTCAGCCGGATTTCCATTGTATGCCAAATTTAAAGTCGATCTGTAGTAGTATGACAGTTAAGAAGAATAGCTGATGGTCTTTAGGGTGTGTTCCCGCTGCCCGTGATGTCAAACGCGCCGATTTGTCCGAGCGAGGTCGCGAAACGCTTGGGTCGACGCGCGTGACGGCGCGTATTCGGGTTTGTATCGAGAGCATAGGCTGCGCGCGCTTTCGCGTCGCGTCTTTGAAGATACCTCAACATATATCTAGATATATGTCTGTGTACCAGCAGCACGGGCCGTGATGGGAAGCCGCCTTCAAACAGCTCAACAGAAAAATGTTCATCTAATATGGCTAGAAACCATCCTGACTTTAAATTTTTTTTATTGTAGAATTTAAAAAGGGCTATAACTTTCTTAGCCAAACAATAGTCCTACAAAATTGTATTATGCAGTTTCACTGCAGGATCTACACGAGTCTCAATGAAATAAAAAGTTATAAACTGACATAGCGTGGTTAAAAATTCTTAAATAGTTATAGCATGGACCAACAGTTCGAGAGAACTGCACACTACCTGAAAAAGGTAAAAATTCCATCTTATATCTAGATGGCGCTAATGAGCCTGGAAATAGTTTATATTATGTTAATGGCCGATATCAATTAATTATAACAATTCTTATCCTTTTTGCTTATTAGCGGTACCCGTTTATGATTTTGCCAGTATCAAGTGTTTCGCTAGGTAGTCATGGGTTTCAGTAGGTTCTGCTAATCCACTAGTAATTTATGGCGGTACTTTGTTAAAGAAAACAAGCTGATTTTGAATTTTGGGGTTGCTGTCTTATAGGCTTACCAAGACAATATTTTCTCCTGAACTTTGACAAATAGATGGCATTGTGTGTTACAAACTAATTTATAAATTAACGTTTCCTAATATTGGTAGATGGCTCTACTTCTAAATAAAATAAAATAAATAGTCTGCACCATTCATAAAAATCTGTGCAATAAGCGCCATCTAGTTAATTTGTTTGTTATCACTAGACATTAGAGTACCCTTCAACCGTACACAATATAGAAATATATTAGCCTTCAAATAATAATAGCAATCATTTATTTATAGAACAACAAGCCTCATTTGTGGTAGTACTTAAAAAAAACACTCTAAATCAGTCTTATAAGCTAAGGTTAGTGTTTCAAAATTAAGAAATCCTAATTAAGCCCGCTTAGTTACTTCTCGCTTGAAATGGCACTACAGTGGCCAATATAATTGCTGGTGAAATTACAGGTACATGGGACTTATCAACTTATGTCGCATGTTGACGGGCGCAGTGGCAGTGCCCTTCAGATCTTTGCAATTTAAAGCTGTGAGTGGCACTGTAACTGTTACGGACAGGCGTGTAGCTTACCATCAGGCGCACGCCTTGTTCGTCCCGTCACTTGATGTTATAAAAAAAATTGCAATCCACTCTGTGGGCGATCATGTGCAGTATACTGTTGAAGTTGCCACGCACGCTGTACGCCATGGATGCGCATCATTTACATATTGTGGCGTAAAAACAATCTACGCGTGCTTTAGCAAACATTTCTGACGCACTACAGAAGGGTCGAGCTTCTGTAGTGCATCCAACAGCACCTGAAACGCGTTATTATATTGAACTCGAAGATCACTGTAAAATCCTTTCGAGTATAATTGGCCCACAAGTTCCATGTATAAAAAGCCTTGCAATATGCCGGGAAAATACTAATTTTGAGTTTTTTTAGCACCGTGCGAACCTATGTCTTCGTTCCCTTTCAATGTCGACCTCGTCTTTGAGGTCAGAGGTCAACATGTGCCCTCGATACCTAAACGACTGTACTCTCTTCAGAGGAACGTCATTAAGATATACTAAGGGCACGCGGTGTCTATTCCTGACCACAAAAACCATGACCTCCCCCTTTTAGCATACATTTCGTATATTGCAACCAGTTTTCTTACACCTCACAGCGAAGCGCTCAGCAGCACCATATCGTCGACGTAACTGATTTTATTCACGCAAACTTCATCTCTGTGACAACCGACTCGGGTGCTACTGAGCTGAACAATAAAGTAATTAACATAAATATGGAAAAAACCAATAAAAAAAAAGATCCGACAACAAGCACATGGAAAATTTCGTGAGGTCCGCTGGTTCGTTCCGTGGCTTAGTTGGCATAGCGTCTGGCATGGTTTGTTAGTAAACGAAGTGAATTTTTTTCCAAGTCGTTTCGTCTTCTTTGTATTAATAATTATAACAAACTATTCGAGTAATTTCACAAAAAATCTCAATATAAAACTTAATTAATATTGATTTTTAATAAAAAGAACCGTTTTAAGATCAGTCCATTCGTTTTGAAGCTACGATACCACAGCAGACATTAGAGAAACAAACACACACAGATACACAAAGTCTACAAATTATAACGCCCCCCTTTTTGTGTCCAGGGTTAATAACAATATAAAAAGGACAATAAAAGTTAAGACTAAATCAACGCGGTCAAAAAGCCACCGAAACAAACGAAAACAATGACAAAATACCTTCAATAACGTTCATTACCTTCTTCCTATACTTTTAAATCCATTAGGCTTTAGCAAAGTGGGACACTGTATTATCTATGGTATTCGGCAAATTGTCAATAATAATAGTTATAATGCTCGTCAAATAATATTACTGAGCCTGTTTCGAAGATGAGGTCGCACTTTCTAGTATTGTTTATAGTAAAATGAGTACGTGTAATTATTTTGGTGGCCTGGCTACGCGTCTACAGTCATCGCGAAAACGGTTTAATCTGATCGATAGAATTTAATGTGGACAGTGTCCAGAATATTTGTGTTAACCCACAAAATGACAATTTTAATATATGGAGCATTAAAGGTTTATAGTGAATAATGCAATCAGTTTATTTTATTTTTTTAAGTTTCTAAAAGTTACGATCAGTAATTAAATAAAAATTGTTCATGAAAAATTCGATGCATCAACAACATTTTCACGAAAGTGTTCTAAGGTATAAGACTACATTCATAAGTCATTTTACGGCTTTCTGTAGATTAACTTGTATGTAGCAGGTCTTCTAGTAGCTGTAAACCTCCTTGTGAAAGAGTTCATCCAGGGAAGTACTGCCACCTTACCAATTTTTGCCCTCAAGCAGTAATGTAAGCATTATTGTGTTCCGGTTTCGAAGGGGTAAAGGTGCTGGTGAAATTACAGGCACATAGGACTTATCAACTTATGTCGCCTGGTGGTAAGTGACACGACTGTGCATGACAGTTGCAGGGCGGAAATAGGTAAGGTGGCAGTACTTTCCTCGACGAAATCTTTCACAAGGAGCTCTACTGCTACTTATGGCTGTCAGCAACACTGAAAATCGTAAATAGTCATATGGCCCACTACGACATCTTTTCTATCACAAGAAGTATTAGACAAATATGAGCCCAACCAACGTTACGGTAAAACTTTACAGCATTTACTCTATCAACTGTGCAGAGACGCGAACTAAAATTCTCTAAACTAAAATTGTTGCAAATAGAGACAAATAGATAGAATTTGTATTGAAAGAATTTGAAATTTAATTAAAAATAGATTTTATATATTATGGTATTGACGTGTACACCAGGCAATGATCTTATATACAAAACACCAGATTTGTGTAACACTTTTTTTTTAATAATAAAAACTGTTATATGCCGTACGTAAAATCACATTCTAATTTAAATTCTAATTCTTTCAGTGTTACACAAATATGAACCTAAACAGATCAGGTTTTCTATTTAAAGATAAATGGTAAATTTTCTACAGCATTTATTGTATTTCAAGTGTTCAGAGAGACGAACAAAAAATCGCAAATGCTGTAAATAAAGGCAAATTATCTGTCATTACCGCCATCGCCTGACGGGAAAGTATCACTTTCGATCGCGGGCTTAGATTAAATCAACATGTGTCGATAGCTGGAGGATTTATAATGCCATTTATTTGCTTTTCAAGATGATACTGCGGTTTGTAAGTCTTTACTTAATACAAAATAACAATAACTTTGTTTGCCTCTTATAATATTAATACATAATGCCTTAGGCTCTCAAACTAGGAAATTCCCTATACTATGAGTAACAGAGCAACAGAATTCCGGGGAACTACCCAGAACACCAAGACCAGAAACAATTTAGAAAATTTCCCGAATTGGTCCAACCATGAATCGAAAATAATTAGAGTAATGCCCGGAATACATGAGGCTAATTTTTCAAGCTAGTTCTAGTAAGCTAGGAAGCTAGTAACTCTGGCTTTGTATATACAGAACTAGCTTCATTTCTAGGCTATTAAGGTAGTGAGGTAGGTAGTAAGCTAGTGTCTCATGGATCGTTTAATAGGATGTGGTTGTATTATTTGAGCTACTAGCTTCCCCCACCACTGATATTACTATCTTGTCTCGTGTACTAGCTTCGTGTGGCCGGCGAAGATAGCATCCGATCAAATAGTATGCAATGAC